TTTTATAAGTGAGTGGGCCATTAAAAGCAAAATACGAGGTTATTGCATCCTTATAATTGACAGGACAAGTATGACTAAATTTCAGCACTAAAAATGTGCAAGAGACACGAGTTAAAAGTGGGCAAAAGACAATTTCAAGAAAGCAGAGGTTCCAAGGGTTTTATTTAACGGAGGTGTTAATAAAAACGCATTAAATATGCTTGATAAACTGAAGAAAAGTCTATCCAAATGCCTAATAATCAATTCGGATTAAAAAGAACCAATCACGTTCTCGGCATAAATTTTAGTTGACAACACAATCAATCAAATGTGCAAATGATTGAATGACTCTTCAGGGGCTAAATTATGGACTTCGGTATGATTACAATTAAACAAGGCGAACACGAGAGGTCACTTTGATGGTTACACCAACATATGGATTTATTTTAGATATGCTCTGTTCCGCGATACTAGGAGCCAGACGACCAGCTGTGAAAAAAATTAAGAGATGACATAAATTTGTAAATGATAAGAGTATAATACACTAATTAATCCTAAGGTTTCTTTAGACACGTTTATGTAAATTTCAGTCAATTATTAGGTAAAAATCACGTTATTCGCAATTAACAGTGCTCAAACACTTAATAAAATTAGAATCATTTTGACCAAAATGCCAAAGGCGAAAAATTAACAAAGATGCGTCACCTTGGTAACGCTAGCAACAATTAAATGAAATTTTTTTAAAGTCGAAAATGTAATTTGCTTTAAATAGATATCCTCTTTGAAAATCCTTGACATGAGAGAAAAAACGTTATTTGCTACGAATAGGACGGAGAAGGATGAAATGAAAACACTAATATAAGCTGCAGCAAATCATTTATATAAATTTGAATTGAATGTGCAAGAAAATACAGTTCGAACATGCCATATCTCGCCAAAACTAACCTATTTTGCAGTGCACTCATTTGGAATATGTGAGTCACGTTCAAAAGAAAAGACAGAACCAATTAACGTCACTTGCTAAATGTAACCATATTTTGATGAAAATATTATTCCAATTAAAAAGTGTTAGTGCAAATATTTCATACGTCTGTAGCTAAAATTATAATTTAGCATTTATTAGCTATTTTCAATGTGAATAGAGTTCTAGATTTACGGAAAACGCATTCGGTTGGTCACCTTGGTAAAATTGCTTATATCGCATTAAATTTAGGGGCGCCTCTTCTGAAAGGTAAAATGGCGCTTTTCTTTTTTGTATGCATTTCAATAGGGAGTGGTTGCGAATATCGCCCGTCATGCATAAGTAACGGCAGCTTGTAATTTTGTCATCGTATTTTATCTGAAAGGCATTCTTGAGTGTGTTACGTCACTTTGGTGGCTCATAGGTGCTTGTTGCTAACTCTTATTTCGCTGATATTTCAATGGATAGTCATTCGTTCAGTGGATTTAATGCTCCCAGCTCAAGCTTTCTGCAAGAGCTGACTGTTGAAGATCCGTCAAAAGATGTCTATACTGGTACCCAAGTCCCTCAACAACGTCCATATCAATCCTACCAGGATCCCAATTCTGGATGTTATTCATCCGTTCCTGATATTCCCACTGGTCCTTACTTTAATGGACAATATAATGCGGACCCATACTACCTAAATCACCCTGTTTATACACAGAGAGTCAAGTACCCGGAAACTACTTATACTGCCACCCCTCCAATGCCGTCACATCCTAGTCCTCATTCACAGGTTACTCCAAAATCAGTCGTAGCCCCTTCCCCTTCGCCCTCCGCATGGGTTGAAAGTCAGCAACCACCACAGTACCAATCTGACTCATACACATCCCAGCCTACATTCCAGTCTGGCAGCAGAGTGCCTGCCGGCACCTCCCCCTCTAGTCATGTATCATCGGTGACTGGATCGTCCATACAACAGCCATATCAGAGTTCCGTGGGACATTCGTTCAACGTGGTATCAGGATCATACTGCCCTAGTGAAATGGCGCCCGTTACATACCCGAGTGTTCCTCCTCCCCAACAATCCATTCACCCTATGTCGGTTAATGGTGAAACTCTGAACCCATATGCGCAACATCAACACCAACCTAGGAATCCTGCTGTGGGCTCTCATCAGCCTCCAACAAAAGCCATAAAGAGGCAATCCAGAGCACGGAGTGGGCCTGGTGTTAAGTCACAATCTGCCGGTTCTTACATCCAATCCTCAAACGAACCTGCTGCACTCGAGCGTTTTGCTGCCGAGCAATGTCCTCCCAACGTGACTGTGATCACGCCGAACAACGAGCTTCCACACTCAACAATCTTAAATTCGCAGGTCGGCCCTACTGGTGGCCAACCCACAGTTCTTCCAGCAGCCGAAGGGCCACCCCGAATTTGCAATAGGTCAAATTGCGAATCACCTGCAGCTCTCATTCCGATTCATGAAAGAGACGCGAGTCAACCACAACGGTCCTTGGTACCTTCGTTTTCTGAAACGGCCACTACACGCGGGGAAAGCTCGAGTGTCGTGAAATCACCAGAATCTGTTTCCACATCTGTTCAGCCTTCTAATTCTTCAACACAACCAGCCACGCAACTCTCTCCTTGCCTAAATTCGACACAATCCGCGGATGCCTCTATCGCCCTTCAACCTGGTGCATGCTCTCCACGACCCGAACAGGTTATTATTAATACCTTAATTCACACAGGGTTTTATTACTGAGTGTGCTTTGTCCTGAAACTGGTGCGCAACTTTGGAAACTGTGTCGAAATTCCTCAATCCGTTGATAACATGATCCTGAGGTTTAATTTTCTTCGTAACATCTAAAGTAAAAAGGTCCACTGTGAAGTTTTCTTCTTACTTTGTTATGTGTTGAAACCTTACATTTAAATATTTAATTTCCAAGCCATTAGTTTTGCAAAACATAATGATGCCTGCCGCAAAATCACTGCTGTTAATTTTCTGCGGATTTGTGCAAACGGAGGTCATCTCGCGGTGGTACCGAAGCACAAATGTTCGTTGCCAGGGTCTGGAGTTAATTCACCGTCGTTTTTAATGTCATTCTTTTAGCAACCAGTGTGTCTAATCATCGCTGTTTAAATTAGGTGTCCCCATTTAGTGGTTGACAATCGGCGACCATCGTTATCTGCTGGGACGTTTCATTTACCACAAGTAGCGTTTTGGCACGAGATTCTCATACCAACTGCAATTATGTGACCATTAAAGGTACTGTTGAACTAACTTTTAACGCGGCCGTAGTCACGTGGCAATGATCTATCAGTGCATTCTGTACAATTGGTACGCAAATTACCTCCTACTTACATATTATCTTTTTTTATCATCAGGTGCTTTTTTATGCACTAAGCTTTGTTCATAATGGTGTTGGTCGGCTCCGTTCGGGGAACTCGCACACTTTGGAAGTATCGTTCTTCTGCTCACTTTCATTCTTGCCTACAGGTATCAGATGGCAGTCCTCAACCACCAAGTCTCAAGTCCCCCATTCCGATTCGAAGTCCTCCCCCAGGGACAGCGTCGCTGTCATCCAGCAACGACAACCTCCCGCCAATCCTCCCCAATGAAACACTTGAGGAAGAAAGGGGAGAGGAACTTGACCGAACAGGGACACTCTGCGATGCCGTCGCTCCAGTTTTATCCAGCCCATATTCTGAATCGGTGACAACTCCGCAAAAACGATCACGAGGACGTAAACGGAAGTTGGAGGAGCGGCACCAGCAGCAGTCGAACAGTGAGGACGTGCATTCGGTGCCTGCCAAAACTGAAAGAAAGCGACCCTCGAAGGCTGACGTGGCTGCGAAGCGAAAGGCTAGTCTTGCAATGGCCAATGCCGCCAAGCGTTCGCGCCGAAAAGCCACGGCGGCCAAATTGACGTCAAAAAATGACGTCGACTTGGACGGTGACGACGGCGACGACGACGACGAGGACGACAGTAATTCCCGACTTACAGGAATTAGGCCTTCCACAATGTTAGAAGGGGATGATGACGAAGATACAATGGCGGCGTCGGCGACGGCCACTGAGGCAGACGAAGAATCGACTACGGCGACAACACTGGACGAGGCTTCGGAGATGTTACCAAAACGGCCAAGACCTCCTCCCCGACTGCGTGCTCCTCGGCCTAAGAAAAAGAGGTAATTATTATTAACGATAGCATTCTATTGTTCTTCGCTAGAACTATGTATACGTCATCTTGTTATTCTACCCTATAGGGCGCTGAAGACTTTGATGAAGAAGAAGCGTCGTGGCGCCTATCACTACGGCGATGAGTCGGATGGCTCGGAGTCAGACGACGAGGGCGCTGGTGGGGGTCGTTCTTCACGTGTCGGTCTCCACCCTGTCGCCTCCACACAGAGCCTCCACTCTCAGCTCACCGACGAAAATTCCCTCGACAGTTCCGTGAGTAGTCGTTGTTTTCCCCTCTCACGTAGATGTTACGCCCACGAAGCCTCAGGGTCTCACTTATTCTTTTTTATTTTCCTTGTCCGCTGTTAGGCGCGGCGGTCGGGAAGACGCGCCGGCGATCGGAAGAAGTACACGATTGACAACGTCGACTTCGGACTTTCTGATGAAGGTGATGGTGAAGGCGCAGACTCAGCTGATATCTCCGACAGTGAGACCGTAGATGGCTCTCGAAAGAGATCGGTTAGTAGCTCGATTCCTGTTATACACGTAGAAATTTGAATGTTTGACGCTTTTCTCCGTTTATCCATTGGCTTTGCTGCTTTCGTTTTCCTACCACAGGATGCCGACTTCGTTGACGTGAAGGTAGTGGAGAAAATCCTTGGCCGACGAATGTCCACGCGACCCACAAAGAAGCCAAAATCTGCCAAGAGCATCGTCACTTCCAAAAAGCCACAGCTAGTTTCACCGGAACTAGTAGATCAGCAGACCTCTAGGGTCGAAATGGCAGATCCTCTTGGCGACAATCCCAGTGATTGCGATGCTGTGATAGTGCAAGGAGAGAAGGAGGGCCCACACAGCGAATTACCTGTTGCCAATCCAGTGGGTGTTAACGAAGAAAAGGAAGAGGAGGAACAGGAGGAGGAGGAGGAGGAAGAACAGGTTGAGGAGTTCTACCTCAAGTACAAGGGATTGTAAGTTCCAAATAACTTGACTGGTGTGTCTTTCTGGTTCGTGACTGTTGATTCTGCGAGTGAATAGGCTGACGTGGCAGGTGATTTAGGGTTCATGGATAGCAGAGAACCCCACTAGATTTCATTCGGCTGAGACATTCTGCTCAGTCGATAAGAGAAAGAATCCTAAGTGTCTAGTTTGTGTTCATTTGTCGACTTTCTGACTCCCTAGTTCCTACATGCATTGTGAATGGAAGGCCTTTGATGAGATCGCGGACCCACGGATAGCCACTAAGATGAAGAAGTTCTTCGCCAAGAACGGAACTGACCCTCTACCACCTCCAGCAGCCGAGGATGATGACGGTACGACTGTTCTCTTCAATCCCGACTACGTTGAAGTAGACCGCGTCCTGGATGTGCGCATCTACGATCGGTTGAGCGGTGACATTGTCACCGAGGAGATTCTCAACCCCGAAGGCACTCCCAGACGTTCACAGCAGCTGCAGAAGGGCAAACGAAGACGCGGTCGGCCACCACGCACCCGACCGCAGGATGAATCGGCGGAAGACGAGATGACAGCCACTCCGGAGACTGCGGATTCGGAGACGCAAGACGAGTCATCGGCGATGGACGACGGACAACCTGCGACGGTCACCTACTACCTTGTGAAGTGGCGATCGCTTCCTTACGAGGATTCCACTTGGGAACTTGCCGAGGACGTGGATCCTGCCAAGGTGAAGGAATTCATGCGCATCAGAAATCCACCCAAGAACCCACCCATCATTCGTGACAGTAACCACAAGGTAGGCCCTTTCATTAGGCTTTATGTGTTTATTAGTAGATTTGGGTGGGTGCCGTTTACATTTCGGATCTGCACCGGGTTTGTGTTGCGGTGCGCTCTAGGGGTCTGTTTTTACAAAAATTTACACCATCCCTTGGTTTAGAGCTCTAGAATCGACCAAATTTTTTTTTTTTTTCGTATTTCATCAAAAATCTCGCCGATTTTGTGCACAATTTGCTGAATTTCTAAAACCATTTTCCCCCTGATGCATAGATCATTAGACCAGATCCCTCCGTGTGGCGTCCCATTGCAGAGGACGAGGTCTACCGAAACGACAATCGTCTTCGTGAGTATCAAGTGGAGGGTGTGAACTGGCTCTCCTTTTGCTGGTACAACAAGCGAAACTGCATTCTTGCCGACGAAATGGGCTTGGGCAAGACGGTCCAATCTATAGCCTTTCTCCTGGAGGTCATCAAAGCGGGTGTCTCTGGTCCCTTCCTGATTATTGTGCCCCTCTCTACTGTGGGCAACTGGCAACGCGAGTTCGAGAATTGGTCGGACCTTAATGCCATTGTCTACCACGGCAGCGCCGTCAGCCGGAGCATGATCCAGGAGTACGAGCTCTTCTACCATCGCCGGAAAACCGGCGGGTCGTCGACTAGCGGCTTGGGCGTCTCCCAGCACAGACACGACGTCTATAAGTTCAACGCCCTCATCACCACTTTTGAGGTACTCATGTCAGACATTGAGTTCTTCGGTAGAATGCACTGGGCCGTCGCTATCATCGACGAGGCGCATCGGCTAAAAAATAAGAAATGCAAACTAGGCGAGGGTTTGCGCTATCTCGACTTGGTAAGTGAACTTGTTAGCATACCCTATTTATTGGCCACGAGAACACAGATGCTTTTGTGTGTGTGTGTGTGGCACAACCGCTGGATTGGTTCGTCGCAGTGCCGGTTACCTAGGTGATTTAAGGTCAAGGTGCCCAGTTTAATGCAACTCTTTGCTCCAAACCGTTTTTATAGTCTGTGATTTCTTTAGCTTGTGCAATTGATGAGTTGTCAATGTCTTGGTGGTGGTGCGACTGAGGTCAATTTTGAGCCTTATCTCATGTGTCACCTTCCTTCTGTGCTTTGTTGTGCCGTGTTAAGTGAAGTGTATATGTGTGGTAGTTGTGCCTATGACCGTGCAAAAATGTGCGTCACGTTACTCCATAATCGATCGCCTCAGTAGTTAACTAGCAAAGCACTCTTCAACAGGAAATTGTTTAAACTCTTACTCGAGGTGGTGTGGATCACGCATCCAAAGTTTGTGCGATGTCTTGCATCATTTGGCGTGTCTTTCAAACCGATATTTCAGCCAAGACGATAATGTCATCATCTGTGGCATTTTACTACTCTATGCTCCTAAGGGTGTTAGAATTTTTTTCATTTAACAAGGACATGTGCGCTTTTTGCCCCGTAGGATCACCGTGTCCTACTAACGGGAACGCCACTGCAGAACAACGTGGAGGAGTTATTCGGCCTCCTCAACTTCCTTGAACCGGAGCGTTTCGCCTGCGCCAACACCTTCCTGGCTGAATTCGGTGAGCTCAAAACCGAGCAACAAGTGGAAGACCTGAAAACCCTCCTCAAGCCCATGATGCTTCGCCGACTAAAGGAGGACGTGGAGAAGAGTCTTGCGCCCAAGGAGGAAACTATCATAGAGGTGCGTTTTGACACTCGCTGTTGACGGAACACCAACCTGCGCGCGCACACGCTTGTTTTTTGTCTTGTAAACCGTGGAATCCCCTGCACAAGGCGTTTCTGAGTAATGACGTGTCAATTCACCAAATCACATGTTTTTAAAGCAGTCTTGTGAAGCGTGTGGCTCTTTGGCATTCGAAATTGTACAATGAGTCAGTAGACTTTGGCGTTCGGTAATTGAGGCTTTTGTGAATATTTATTGCAATGTGCGTAGTTAAGTGAATCTCATTATGCACTAGAGATTTCGCCGCTGATTCCAAGGCTTTGAGTAGGTACACTTTCACGGTGTTGCTTATGCGTTAGGGCAACACTTGCAGATTCAAACTACAACCAAGATTGTTTCCTGATACTCCGGATGAGGTACTCCCCCACTCGGTGGTGTTGGGATGGGCTTGGCGTCGTACTTCTCTCTGTAGATTCCACTCACAACGCTGCTAACGCGTGTTTTGTGCTATTCTCAATTAGGTGGAACTGACGAACCTGCAGAAGAAGTACTACCGGGCGATAATGGAGAGGAATTTCACCTTCTTGTGCAAGGGCACCACCGGATCGAATATGCCGAACCTCATGAACGTGATGATGGAGTTGCGCAAGTGTTGCAACCACCCCTTTCTCATCAAGGGTGCTGAGGACGCCATTCTGAACGAACAGCGCACCCTGGTAGGGCTCTCTGACGACTTTCCTTTTGCTGGTTCCATTTCATTCCCATTTACGTCCTCTCTCTCTCTATGCCCGTAGGCCAAGGTCGACCCGTCAAAGCCATACAACGAAGAACAGCAGATGTTCAGTGCCCTGTTGAACGCCTCGGGCAAACTCGTGCTCATCCACAAGCTGCTGCCGAAGTTGAAGGCCGGAGGACACAAGGTGTTGATTTTCTCGCAGATGATTCGTGTCCTTGACATCCTCGAAGATTATCTGGTCTACCAGGGGTACGCTTACTAATACCTTCTAGCATCTAGCCTGGAACACCTCTGAGCAATGCGTTGTTCTCACTTGGCTTAACTTTCTGCCTTCTCGATTTCAGATTCAGCTTCGAACGAATTGACGGTCGCATCCACGGTTTGTTACGCCAAGAGGCGATCGACCGCTTCTGTAACGGTGCGTGCCCCTCCACTTACATCGTCACATTCCTCTCTCTCTCTCTTTTTAATCACAACCCAGCTGGTTTTACGATTCGGGATGCTTGCGTTGTACTTACCACGTCTGTGTCGGGTTGCTAAATCTACACGGCAGTTTAGCGTGTGTCATGTGGTCGTGTGAATTTACTTGTCTTATCTTAAAAATCTGATGCTAGTTAACTCAGGTAATGTATTTAACGTTTATGTGTGTGTGTGTGTAATTTACACGAAGATGTCGGATATTCAGGTTAAATCTGACCGCATTTACGAAATGCATTTACCAAATCAAATGTACTTTAACAATTCCTAGCTTTTCCCATAGCGGTAATCGATTTTCCATGCTTGCCTTAGACCCCGACAAGTTTGTCTTCCTGCTTTGCACCAAAGCCGGCGGCTTGGGCATTAACCTGACGGCTGCCGACGTCGTCATAATCTACGACTCGGACTGGAACCCCCAGAACGACCTTCAGGCCCAGGCGCGTTGTCACCGGATTGGGCAGCAGAAGATGGTCAAGGTCTATCGACTGATCACTCGGAACACGTACGAGCGCGAAATGTTCGATCGGGCCTCGCTTAAACTTGGTTTGGACAAGGCTGTTCTTCAGTCGACCGGTGCCCACGCTAGACAGGTGAGTAACTAGATGGTTCCCCTTGCGGTGGCATGGTATTGTGCCTCTGCTCAGGGTGATTTGCTTCTCTGCCCATGCATTGTAGGCCCAATTGAGCAAAAAGGAGGTCGAGGAACTGCTGAAGAAGGGGGCCTACGGAGCTCTGATGGACGACGACAAGGCCGGTGACGATTTCTGCGAGGAAGACATCGACCAAATCCTCCAGTCGCGCTCCCACGTCGTCCAGCTCGAACAAGGCGAGAAGAATTCCACCTTCTCCAAGGTTTGTCCTAATCCTGTCTCGCTCTCCATGTCAGTGGCTAAAACGCTGCTGCCTTACTGCACTGTTTACTAACTCTGTCGTGTTTGTATACCGTCTAATTGTGGCTGCCATGAATCTATAAGACCGTGCGTTTAAGTGATTAGATCGCATCAGCGCGTACATTGATTGATAGTCCGGCGTGTACATCTGTCTGCGTGCGTGCGCGCGCGTGGAGGCACCGCACAGACACGCTGGTGTCGACTGACTCATCTAATCGTCGTCACAGGCAGTGGCAACCGTGGCCTCGCGTCCGCCCCTCTCGCTATGCATGTGCTTGCACGGGCGCCTGGTTTTAATTCTTTTTGGCTCGGTTCTCGCATGCGTCTGCATTCTCCACAACGCGCATTCTCGCCACCGTGCTTCATATTGCCTTTAATCTCGATTCTAGGCCACATTTTCCATATCGGATAATCGAAACGATATCGCTCTGGACGACCCCGACTTCTGGCAGAAGTGGGCAAAGAAGGCCGGTGTGGAGGAAGCTGGCCTGGAGTTTGAGGTATTCCACCTGCTTAATGTGTCTAGTTATTCTTACGTGCCTATTTGAACATCACCACTTTAATTATTCGTCTCTTTTTTCCATTCAAGGACTTGATTATGACCACCCCGCGGCAGCGCCGGCAGACTCACCGATACACCGCCGAGCTGAACGAACAGCAATCGAATAGCGGGCTTTCGCACTCCCAGAGCAACTCGCGTCTGCCGAACGGAGGCAATACTTGCGGTGCGGCGGGCGGCGCAGGAAGCAACCCCGAGTCTAGCGACGGAGAGAACAGTTCAGGCGAGAGTTCAGGTCCTGACGACGACGGAGGTGACTCGCGTGCAAGCGGAACCACCACCAACACCGGCACTGCCAAGACGAAGAGCAAGAAGAGCAAAAAGTCCCGACGCAACGAGGAGGCCATCGGCGGCGCGATCGATCGCGTTGACCTTTTCCGGGTGGAGAAGTGCCTCTTCACGTGGAGCTGGGGACGCTGGGCGCATGCAATCGACTGTATTCCCTTCAAGCGGCCTATTTGTGAATTGGAGATGCAGCGCATCGCCAGCTCCATTCTCGGCTACGCTCTCAAAGTGACGCCCTCGTTGACCGGTGGAGGCGACGCACGTATTCGCGCGGTTGTCCTTGAAATGGTTAATTGTAACAAGTCGGACGGAACGGAGCTGTCACTTCGAACCATGGCCGACGTGGTGCAAGCCCTGAAAGCCTCAGCGAGTGAGGTGACTGTAAGGGGAGGTGGGAGGAGGGGAAGGAGGGGTGTTACCCGAGGAGGGGCAGATTCTCCCATGGCTCCCAGCACTCCCACTACTCCGACAACCCTCGCTTTCGACACAGATCCCACAGACCACGCTCTGAAGCCCGATGATATTTCCCACGACGTCGCCAAGAAGGAGGAAGACGACCAAGGTAGTAAACACCCCGCCACCACTCGCTAACCTGCCCCGTGTCTTTGTGAAGGCAGTAAGGACTAAAATGTGCTTTTTCACTTTCGTCTTAAAGGAGGCGACTTTGGCATCACCAGCGACTCCTTTAAGCGGCACTTGACACGCGCTGGCGGACGTCTGTTGGCGCGCGTCTACACCCTCTACTTCCTCCACACCGAAATCGTCGGTCTGGAGCACGCGGATGCGCTCTGCGATGGCTCCGTCGACCACACCGCCTTTACCCAACTGGCCGAAAGCCTCCCGCCCCTCAAAGGTAGGCTCTCCACTAACCGGCCTTGTCGTCGCCTCTCTCTCTCAGCTAGGCGTGCTCTTTTTGCGTGCTTGCAATGCGCCAAGCAGCCAGGGCCTGCTTGTTAATTCAGTTTTTCCACTGCGACGGTGACTCATGCACCCTCGCCTTTTGTCCTCGTGTTCGCCAAATTACCAACTTCAGCGTCCCATTAAACCACTCCAGCCGGGTCGGTGGGTGTGCGCAGTCAACACACCCCTCCGCCTAGTCCTTCTTTCGTTTCCCATGTTCAGCTTCCTGGGCTGTTTTTTTTACGCGTGTGTTTCACTCACCGTGGGTTGTGCTTGTGCTGGTCTCTCTTTTGTCTGATTCCTCGTCTCCCTCCCCTTGCCCTACCGATCGGTTGGTTGGGCGAAAACGGGGATTTTTGTTCTCACATCGGTGGAATGGTAATCTGGGCGAATGAATGCCGGTTCGATGTGTTCTGTTCATCCTTTCATTGTACGCACTGGGGATTGTTGGGCCCAGGATAAGACCGCTGTTTCCCAGAGTATTTTTTGGTGCCTCATAGAATTCAATGCCTCATTTCACAAGCTTTGGTTTCTTATGACCCAATGATCACGTAGTTGACCTGCAGTCAAGGTTGATTTCCTCCTCCACAGCCCTCGACGCAGACGTGCCCGCTGATTGGTGGGATTCGTGTTGCGACAAATGCCTTCTTCTCGGTGTCTTCAAGCACGGCTGGGAGAAGTACCTGGCGATTCGCGACGACCCGGCCTTCTGTTTCTACCACCGCGTCTACGGGCCCAGCGCACCCGCCATCCCCATCCCCACAACCAAGGGCGGTCTCAAGGTAGCCATGGATGACGCCAAACCGGACAACGATGACGCCGAGGAGGGTCCTTCAATCAAACCCGAGGAGCCTGGCGAAGACGCCGAGATGGAAGACGAGGAGGAGGAGCGAAGCCTGATAATCGCGGCCGGTGTTGGCGACGAGACGGGCTACGCCCACACGGCAGAATCAGCGTAAGTTCTTGGTCGACCTTAGCAAATGTATACGCCCTTTTGTGAAAGCAACCAGTCACACAGCTGTTGTTATCTGTATCTGTCATTGGTGCTCCAAGTTTGCCCATGTGATCGCTGAATTTATGTCGTTTCTACCAGTCCAAAACTGGAGGCCAATGCGCCGTCGGCTGGCGCTGGTCGTGTGAAAACTGAGCCGTTGGATGTCAAACCGCGAATTGACGAGACGAATGCCCTACATGAGGCGGATGCCGACGAAATGGCTCCCACGCCTGTCGTGGATGTACCGCCGTCCATGCCGCAACTGGACGTCGCTGCCGCGGAGCTGCCCCCACCTCTCCTTCTCTTCCCCGCCGTCGTCGACCTCAACAGTCGCATGCGCAAACTCATCGCTTACTTCCAGAGGGTGCGAGCCCAAGTCGAGCTTGAAGCTGTTCACAACCTCCGCACCGAGACCATTCCCAACGTTACAGCTCAGCCCTACATGGAACAGCGACTCATGTGAGTTCAGTCCCTTTTTGTGTGTCAGAATTGGCTCAATCTTGGGTAGGGTGGGTGCTAGAATCTCCCCCGGGGACCACGCTTTCTAGCAGTACTTTGTATTTGTGTGCTTCGTGGTTTGCGCAGAAAATGGTCGCGTCGTGAGGAGGCTGATTTCTACCGCGTGGTGTCGAGTTTCGGTGTGGAGCAGGTGATGCGCACGCCCCACTCGTCTCCGTCGTCGGCCAAGCGACCGGCCAAGATCTTCGCAGGCTACAACTGGGCCACCTTCAAGTTGCTCGCCAACCTCTCCAAGAAGCCCGACCAAGCCATCACCGAGTACTACAATGCATTCCTAACCATGTGCCACCGCGTCTGTCGCGAATCCCTGCCTGAAGGTGAGTGGCTCGTTGTGTTGGTTTCGTCCAACCGCTTAATCGACCTCCCGTCGATCCTTGCATTCGACTAACTCGCTGCCTCTGCTTACTTCAACGCAAACCAAGGCGGGCACCATTTCCGGTGTGGTCTAATCAGATTTGATTTGGACTGATAACTCACCACAATGTGAAGAGGGAGAGCGAGGAGGGGCAGCTGAATCAGCCTCCTCAAGTGTTTGGGTCTCAGTGGGTGTTTTTGAGTGCCGCCACATCTAATCTAACTCGTTGTTAGCGGCAAATTTTACGCACAATTTAACACACAAACTCACAACCAAACGATACATTTATTTGCTCAACCCACTGTGTGCCTCACCGTATGCAATCGCAGTTTCTACTTTGACGAGCGCTGACTACTAACCGGTTATTGTGCACTGAGAACAACGCTGCTTACTATCTGATCGATTCCACTTTTTTCTTCAATGGTCGATAAAATCGCGTAGAAGCTGTGTGTTGAGAACGCTGTAAAATGACGAAATTCGTGCATTCTTCTTCCGCGAGGTGTCAACCAAGTCGCCATTTCATGTGACCCAGTCGCTGACTTGAGCGTACGCAGTCAGTCAAGCCAATTTACGACGACAGCGACGACAACCACTACTGTTGGGGAGGAGGGACGCTGTGGCAGCATGCAAAGTTGATTGGCTATTTCGCCTCTTCTTCTTCTTTTCCCTCATCTCTCAGTCCTTCTAGCGTATCATTTTTGCTGGTGCTGATTGTCCGCGCCGTCGTCTTCCCCCCTTCCCATCTTTTTATTGCGCTACGCACTCGAATTGACCTTGGGCACGCGAGGAGTCACCATGACTCACGCACGCGGCGGCGGGATGTCGGTCTGTACACTTTCCGCGCACAATCCGGGCTTTGACAACGAGTTCTCGTCCTCACAGACCACCGACGCGTAGAAACCGCGTGTGTACAGGGCTCGCCACTGGTTGTCGTGTGTCCTGCTAGTCGGTTATCCCACTACCACCTCCTGCAGTCCAGCCAACTGACTGCGTGTGTGTGTGTGTGCATTCAAGAGACGTGTACGCCTTCGCGCACACCTTTTGTCCCCGCAAACGATGCCGGTCGTCGTTGATCTTGCGTGCACACACGCACGCACCCACGCGCCTTCCGTGTTGTCACTTCACGAGTGTCGATGGTTATTGTGGTCTTTGTTCATTGTTTGCTTAGTGCCGGCGCTTTGTGCGAGGCGGCATTCTACACTCTTCCTCCTTCCCCCACTTCTCCGTGCTCGAATGTACATATTTACCCAGTACTTGTTCTAGTCAGGCGACATCACAGTAGGTGCATTTCACACACACACACACACACACACACAAAGCAGTCGGCCGCCCAGCGCTGTCCGACTTCTCGATTGAGTCGACGTGCGTGTTGTGCCATCCCACCCCAGGCGCGTCTGCGTTATCAACGTGCAGTCGCAGTTTAATTTTTGGCCTTCTTGCTGTCGTCCGCATGTGCATTGATTAGTTTTTCCTCGTCACTTAATTCACTCAAACTCGTGTTAATTGGCTACCTCTCTCTCTCTTTTTGTTAGTTCAAGTACGCGCGCACGCGAGTGTGCGCTCGTCCTCCACCACGTCCACCGCCACCTCCTCGCTCCCTGCCTTTCCCTGCTGCCATTTAAAACTTTTGTATTAAACCCCGGCGCGCACCTCATCCGCTGTACACACGTCCGCCTCGTGTTCGACTAGGTGAAATCAATCAGGGGAGTTGGGAATGCGCATGCCCGCCCGTCCGCGCGTGCACACACACACACGTGACATCTTCTACCTTTCAATCTTTTATAAATGCGCGCTTGCGTGCGTGCGTGCGTGCGCGCGCGTGTATTTAGTATTCGAAATTATCCCACCCACCCACCACCTCACTTATGCCCGCCTGCACACACACACACACTCCTTAAAACCATACATGGGAGAGAGGGAGAGAGCGTGCGCACTAGTTGAAGAAGTACGCGCAAGCGCCTGCGTGCTTTTTCGTCTCTTTAGAAAACCTAAATTTTTGGTTGGTCGGTTTGTGCGGACGTGCATGTGTGTGTGTGTGTGTGTGTGTTGTATACACGTATACACACACTCACATACTTATTCACGCGGGAATTATTTGCAAAGGGTATTTCAGCGCGGGTGCTGGTGGTGGTCTTTTTAACCTGCTGTCTGAGAACTGCTGAGGGTATTGGGCGCGTCATGCCTGTGCGCCCAGTGGCGACAAACGCCCCTTTCTGACATGGCCACCGTCATGAAGTCGAGCCTCATTGACTGGCTTTCCAGACATGGCTGTGAGTGACTGCTCGTTTTAAGCCTCGCGCTGCAGGTGGTGCCTGGCGCGTGGGTTCGCACCCACCCACCTCACCCCCCTGTTTTTTTGTTTTCGTCCCCCCCCCCTCCCGTGCAGGTCTCCCCCCACCCGTGTGCTCCCTGCCCACCACCACCACGTACGGCTCGTGTCCCGCCGACGAGGAGATCCCGATCGCGCCCATCTCCGAGGAGCGCGCCACCCGCACCCTCTCGCGCATCAAGCTGCTCAACCGCATCCGCAGCTACATCCTCTCGCACGACCGCCTCGAGGAGCGCCTGGCTCTGTGCCAGCGCTCCTCCGACCTCCCCGAGTGGTGGATCCCCGGTCGGCACGACGGCGAGCTGTTGCGAGCTGCTGCCAAGTAAGTGCCCTCACGATGTCCCTTCACTCGGTGGCAGCATTTACGAAGCTGCTTGAATTCTGGCGCATTATGAGCATTTCCGTCTTAATCACTTCTCACCGCGACGATGACGCGTTGAATTGCGAAGTTTGGTGGCGCTGGCGCACGGCTCTTTTTTTTATTACCGCGCCGTATTTGGTTGTGAATTCACCGTGGTTGTGTGTGTGTGTCTAAGGTTTTGTTCATCTATCCACGCGTGTCTGAGCATTAAATGTGGTCGCATGTGCGCATTGTTGAATGAGTCACTGTACCTCTCCTCCACCGTGTGCCCGTTTCTCACCATATCCGTGTGCGTGTGTGTTGTCGCAACAAAGTCGTGCGCCTTAATGATCAGTTTTCCTGCCGCGCCTGAGAGCGCGATTCACCCCGTTTGAAGCCTTTAATGCTGATGTTGTTTGCTCTTGTGAGAGAGGGTGTGATTGACGCTTAATTGCCCCGCCATGTGCGTGTGTGACTTAACCCGAAGCAATCACGTAATACTACGTCACGCTGTGTTTTTGATTTTCCTTCTTTGATGCCACACATCTGATCCGTCTTAGAGCTGCGTGTTTTTCCACAGTTTTTCTTGTTTTTCACTCGACCCATTTCGCACTGCTTGAGATCGCCCCCACGAGTTGCGGATGAAGTGACTTACCTACTAATAAAACCAGAGTAGTTTGTTATTAACAAAAATTTGCTCATCCACTGCTCCCACGCTAGACGATTTTGTTTTGGTGTCTACCTGTGTAGGCACGGTCTAGCGCGCACCGACCTGAACATCCTGCCCGACAAGGAATTCAGTTTCTCCCGCGTCGCCGCGCTGATTCAACGCCAATTGTTGAAGAATCCTTCGGCTCTCAACGGCGTCGTCCCCCCCACCATCAGTGCCGTGGAGGCTTCCTCAAGCGCCACGGCCACTCCGCTGAGCCTGAGTGAGGTTGAGGCTCGGGCCAGCATGGCGACCGCTGCGTCACTCGCGGCGAGGGCCGTCGCGGCAGAACTCGAGGCCAAGATAGCCTCGCAGTCGTCGAAGGCGCACGACCCGGCTGACGGCAATCGTGGCGACGCGGAGGACGCACAGACCAAGCCAGAGGTCGTTTCGTCCGGTAAGCACTTGTCTAACCGTCGTGGCTCGACAAATACCCCCCTCACTTGCCTCGACGCCTAATCGTGACGTCGTATTTCAGAGAATGGAGGCTCCGACCTCAACGAAGGCCAATCCCTGCCTGTGGCTCACCTTAACAGTGAACACTTCACGTGGTCTCTCAAGTTTGCAACCAACCTCGCTATTGCTTGGCCCAAGGATCGCACCATTCATAATCGTCTGGATATGGTCTGCCAGTGCATTGAGGTAAGGCAAATAGGTTTCCTTTTTTTGAAATATGTCACGCCGACCGGCGATTGAACTGGCCTCACACTTGCCTCCTTCGCCTCGTAGACAGGCCACTGGCCACTTCCTCGGCGGTACATTCTAAACAACGTGGAGGATCAAATGGGTCGATACGTGGTCTCTGAATCCACCGGTGGAGGTAGTCGCGATGCCTCTCCTGCAGCGCCAAGTTCGCCCGACCTCTCCACCCAGAAGAAACCCATCACTTCCACAGACGCCGCGACTCTAGCAGCTCTGTCAGCCGCCGGTTACACCAACATCGACCAGGTGCTCGCTCTTCAGGCTGCGGCTGCGGCCGTGACCGCTGCCGCCTCCGCCCACCAGCCCGAGGTGGGTGCTTCGTTGACTCCTGGCACCACTCGCGGTGGCAGAGGCGGTGGTCGCGGCTCTCGAGGCGGTCGTGGACGGGGTCGGGGCTCCCGTGGTGGCGGCGGCGGCTACTCGCGCGAGGATTTCGCCTCCGCTGCCTCACTCGCCTCTGTGGCTAAGAACGCCGCCAGTCCCTTGCCCACTCGTGGTAGGGGGTCTCGCGGTGGACAAATGCTGCCCCCCCGCGGCTCCCCGGGTTCAACGCGCGGCAGAAAACGCAAATTCGAGACTAATGAAAACAGGACTTCTCTGCCACCACCAGATTCGTCAGCCTGGGAAGTAAATGTGCCGCTCATCTCTCTGGTCAACGGATCTCTAATTCACGGGGAAAAGGCGCCCAAACGACGCCACCTCGAGGCCTGGCTCGAAGCCCACCCTGACTACATGCCGTATTCGGTGGAGCCTGAAGATCAAGTGATTTTCAACAGGGTGGCGAAGGCGCGGGGGCAGGACACCTCAGCGATGGAGGCTCTCGCATACCGTCACTACATGACAAGCCTTCTGAGTAAGGCAGCCAACTACGCCACGAGCCAGCGCACATCGTCAGCCAGCGATCTGATGGAACAGCAACAGAAGCAGCTATTGGCCTTTGCTGCTGCCACGGCCTACTCGAGCAATCCCGCCTACGCTAGCATGTTGGCCTCCGCACTGGGGTACTCGCAAGCGGCAGCCTCGCAACAAAAGTCTGTTGAGTCAGAGAGCTCTCAGAACGAAGCGTCCACCTCACAAATGAGCAGTTCCGCGAAAAGTTCATCCGACGCACTATCATCAGTCAGTCGATCAGGTGGGTCTCTTGAATCCTAACTACCATGAATTTGCACATCGCATTTCCTTAAACTCGTGCTCCTTCTTTTGGTGTTGTGTTGAGCAGAAGAGCAGGGTAAACGGAGCGGTGCTGCTGAGTCGCCCTCACTCCCCCCCTCGACGTCTACCTCCGCAAGTGGCAGTCAGCTGACACCGGAGAGCTTGCACTCAATGCTGGCCGCGTATCAGCAGGCTGCGTCGTTTGTGGCCGCCGCCTACATGTACAACCCCTCGCTTTACAGCCAGCACTTTGGTGGCCCGTCTGCCTCCACGGCTTCGGACGCCCTCCAACGACAGCAGCTGGCTGGCAACATGTCCAATCTGCTCTCCTCGGTGTTCGCCGCTGCTTCGGCAGTTGCCGCCAACAACCCATCCACTTCTGCCTCGGCGGCGCCCCTACAGCAGCAAATGCAGCCGAAGCCACAACCGACCGAAGCGGCACTGGACCTCCCCGCGTCGAGCCCTCCTCCTTCGAAGCGCGAGGAAAGGGAGACTAGCGGCGAAGCGGAAAACCAGTCGACTGTAGAAGACGCAAGTGGTGGCGGCGGTGGCGCCGGCGGTGGTGACAGTGACGTGTTGGATCTGAGCAAACCGGAATGATCTCTGTCTCCTCCTATCCTCTCCTCACTGTGTGTGTGTGCGTGTGTATGTTCGTGTGTATGTGTACAAACGACGAGCGCACTCTGTCGCTTTCTTTGTCAGTTCTTTCCCCTCCTCTCCCCTCCCCACCCCTCATTGTCTATATGGCCTCATCTCTGCCCAATTACCTTTCCGGTCCCTCCACCGCCACCACCAATAATGCATTTCCCTTTATACGCTAGTCTTGCTCTTGTCCGCCCCTACCACCGCGTGTTTTATATCCACTGTGTAAAATTCCCCACCACCACTACCACCACGATGTTTTAATTTCACAACGTAGGCGTCTCGCGCGAGCCGTCCACACTTCGCGTGTAGTCCTCGCTGCGCTTGTTCTCTGTTTTCTCCCCTCTCAATCTCCTATCGCACATTGACACAGCACTACTTTCTTTTCCTCGTAATGCGCTATAGTCCTGTATTATCACTAATACTCTGTAACACTATTACTACTACTATTAATCTCGTTGCCAGTACTGCAGGTGCTATTCGAAAAGAATGCGACTTCTTTAAAACTAGTTTGGACATGAGAAAAACTAGACTTCTCACTCAAGTACAAATTCGTATATTATGCAAGAAGATGGCAAGGCAAAACTGCTAAGGCGAAGTACAGATATTCGGGAGATGGTCGGGTGTCTTGGGGCTCTCTCCTTCTCCGCTGTCTCCCACGCCGTCGTCGACGGCGGCGATGTCTATTTCCGAGGCGACTCTGTCGGCTGCCTCCACTGCACACTCGATGGCAGTTTCCCGAGCAACGCCAGAATCACGCAGGGTGAAGTAGGTCCTCGTGAAGGCCACGGCATCGACGACGATGTTGAAGGTGGGGTCTAGGTCGGCGAGCTCATTTCCCCACTGGGCACCAGCGACGTCCTGACACGGCGCAGGCGGGAACGGTCCGTCTGTGTCCTCGTCAAAGGCTTCCGAAGGGACGCGCGGACAGTGCTGGGCCAAGGAGAGGCCACTCAAGGCGTAGCAGGTGTGATAGGGGTCCACGTTTCTGCCCGGTTTGTCGATCAGGCCACCCCCGTTGACGTCGCTCTTATTCTGCTGAATGGGAACCGACAGACCGGGCCGCATGTAGAAGACCCTTTGACAGCAAAGGAGAATGTACTCCTGCAAGAGTCGATCAAAAGTCCTTATCAAAGCCCGATTATAGCTTTAACAAGGGGTTACCGTATTGTCGGTTGGACGACTTGGTACACGTTATGGCAAATGGCGGAAAGCCCGTTTACGAGTTTCACATAGGCTGCATTTCGGTTTAAATTTGACCTGCAAAATGTTGGACTGCTTTATAGACTTTGACCGATTTAAAGACACCGCGGTTTGGGTCGGCCGGTTGGGTGATTCAAATAAAACTTCTGTGTACGGTTATGAATACCTCCAAGGTAGATTTCAAGAGTAGTTAAAACGTCATCTGCAGTTAGACGGTCAAACATCGTAGGGAAACACGTAGGCTTTTGCATTAGGAGCACTTTTGAGGCAGGAAGAACGAAATTATTACGCGAATGGCTCACGTGATTACATCGCAGTAATGCTGTTGCTTCTTCTTAACATGGAGTGAGTTTGGAACTTCAACGCTTAAATCTACGGTTTAGCATTGGCATACTTGGATGCTTTCGCGGCGTCGTTGAATTTCTTAATGATGAGATCAACTGCTTTTGAACGCACGCGGTATTAGCGGACACTATTTATACGAGGTAATCCACAACACACATGAAACTGAGCCCATTACCCAAATTGTGTTATACAGCAGTTCTAGATTGAATTCACGAAAACGCGACTCAAATCCGACCTGAGTTTGACCCAGAAAGTGCTGTTCACAATTCAATGGGTTCCCGTATGATTTCTCCCCTTGCCTTAATTCCACTGAGATCGGTAAAATTAAAATTGATTTGAGGCGTTTCTGAAATGTAGAATTGTTCCGTCTTTTGTTACGGAGTACGGAATAAGTATTTGAAGCCGCGAACATGACAATGTGAAATCAGTGCATAACGGAGTTCAATGTCTCGACATTTGGAGCGGCCACTGCGAAGGTGATAACTTTAATCGGTAGCGAGTTAGCTAGGTTAGTTTGCTTAACTTCACTCGCATATCTAACCATCAAAAAACACCCTGTTTCACGCGCAGGATAGACCAACACCATGAGCAAAAAATGTAGGCGATTATAAACTAAGGAAGGTATTGAGGTGGGCAGGAGTCTGTGAAATCCGGTGTTAGTGACATAAATGATATTTTAAGTCAGTTTTCTAAACGACGAGCGATAGACAGTGCCTTCCGTGCTTCAACAAATCTGAATGTGGAACTCAGACGAGTCAGAACACACGCACAGTAATTAGCAGGCACCATATTGTTTCGTCTGATCTCCTCCAACAGCCGTTGAATGGGTGGGTGGATTTATCTGAACTTGGTTCATGATACGAGGCAATGAGTGGTTCAACAGGGAGGGGGCGTGGAACCACTAGGGCACTAGTGACGGCAGGTTACTCTAGAGCCCACTCCAGTCTGGATTTAAGACGGCCCACAAACACAAGAATTAGGAACAGCACAACGTTAAGCAAGTTGAGTGGAAATCGTTGTACCTGCAGGGCTGAGGTGTCGAAGAGTGCGCCGGAGTTCTTGGGAAGGCAGGTCGAGGAGGAGGAGGAGGAGAAAGTTTTGGATTGCTCGTGAAGTGTTTGCTCTATGAGGGGAAATAGCGCGCCCAACCAAAAGGAGTAGCAGCTGTCAACGAGTTTATGAGTTCTCCCCTAAAAACGGAGGAATCGGATTCCAGTGATTAGAGAAGAAAGTAAAACACTAAGCTGAAGTGCCGCAACTGTTGATTTCCATGGCATGAACGTCAAAACTACTATTGTTCACACTCTCTGGTTCATTGTTGCAGAAAGTTGTTAGCAAATACAGGAGAGGCCCTCTCGATGGGGGAATGAGGCGGAGTCTTTCCGAAGGTATTTTCGGTTAATACAGAATGTAATAAAACCTCAACAGGTGGAGCAGAGAACGTTCGAAGAAATATTAGACACTTACAAACTTCAGTATTAGTCACTGACACATTAACTGCACATGTGTATTTCGTCGTTCGAACTGATGGGTGCGCGGAGTTGACAAAGTTAGGTATTAAAACTGATCCATACAGGCTTGAATTTTGACCAAAGTTGACCGCCGAATGAGGTATTAACTATTCAAAGCGGGAGGTGAAACTCAAGACAAGCTACCTGGAAGCCACCCTCAGTTGGCATCTGGCGGCAAGCAGCCCATTTTAGAAGTCGAGGAATGTCAACAAGATCTGTTCTTTGCAGGATGCGGAGGGCTGCGAAAGCGCAAAATGAATATCCACCGTGAGCCTCCACACATGGCTGTCCACCGAACCCGCCTTCGTAAGTCTAACGAAAAAGATAGCTTAGTGAGAACAGCGGCAGGCAAGTGATATCAACTGAAGTGTGCATGTATGCATATGTGATTAGCTATCACAAACACACCTCCAGTAAGGGCAGATAAGGAGTTGAGTGCAGCATAATAAGTGGGTAATAGGATTCAGGTATCGTATTAGGAAAATTGGCTTCTTGTTCACGCAAAACTACGCGCGTGAACGCACTAGGCGTTTTAACAAGAAAAGACATTTTAATATTGAGATTGGCGCTATGCAAACGACTGAGGTGAACAACATATAAGTTTGGTATTACCACAAATGAATGTGTCAGAGCATTTTATCCGTTGGCTATGATAAAATGAATGGAATTGAGGGTGGGTACGATCAGACAGAACAACTCCAGGAAGCAACCACGAGTCCCATCATCAAATACCACAATTCAGAACAATTTCGTACTCAAATCATGCAGAAAATAATAAATCTAGGTTCACTGTCCAAGCAATGTGACAGACATCATAAGGAAAACTGTGAAGATGTCAAAAAAAGAAAAATAAGTGTAACAGACAGCGAGGATACAGAAAGTAGAGTATGTTATGGTGTGTGTAAATAACTAACCTGACAACTGGCGATCCATTCAGCTGTTCCGTCAAACAATTCGGGCCTTGATTGAAGGAGGCCGGTGAGGGCTGCAGAAGATACTGCGCAGTAAGCTCCACGAACATCAACTTCACCGCCGTGATGCATAAGGAAAGAACCGTTCGATAGACGCAGAGAAGCGAGCCAGTCACCGAGTTTTTGTCTGTCGATTATGTCGAGCGCATCCGCCGAGAGAAGAGAAGCAAGACAGTTGATAGCGCCGTAGGTTGGCGCGAGGTGTGCTAACTGACGCGGACCCCCAGCAAATCCGCCTTCGGGATGCTAAGTAAAATGCGAAATGAGTCAGACTAACGTTTACTAAAGAAAAGGCATCACTACAAGGAAAACTAAAGTTACCTGGCAGCTTTTAAGAAGAGCAATAACACTGCACTTTTGCTGATTAGACAGCTGATAACACAGCAGGCGCAGTCCGTGAATAATCCAGTAGCCTAGCCAAGGCTGACTTGCGTCCAGATGTTCAATTCCAGTTGGAAGATCAACTAATCGCTTTGACAGGTAATTTATATGTTCAATTTTAAACAGACGCAAGGCCACTTCTCCCCACTTATCGAGTTTTTCGCTGTAAGCCTTTTTAACCAAAGACTCGGTACGACACTGATCTTTTTCAGTTGGAGTTTTTGGATCATGTTTTGTTAGAGTCTGCCGGAGGTTAAAAAGAACACTTCGATCCATACCGAAATCCTTGTATTAACCGACAAACCGCCTGAGAGCAATTTACGTAAGCGCCGAAGCGGGCTAACTTCCAGAGCACAAGTGATGTTGAGCCAATAAAAGCACAGAATAGAATTTAGTGATAGCCAATGGTTACCAGAAAGGATTTTTAAGGATCTGACGAGGAAGTGTTAAATAAACATTTGAGTGGCCATTGGCATTTGTAAAGGCGATAGGTTTTGTACAATCTTTTATACTAATGGCAATGGCACCAACAAAATTGAATCAGGTGACTTATACGTTCAAAATGGATGTTTTTTGGTTACTAAATAATCTACATGTTTATTTTGCATAACTGATTATCAGCAAAACACCTAGAGGCTTCCCAGCATCACAACTTAAAGGCATTTTACGCGGAATTCAAATGTGACCCATATTTTTAAAAAATTGCTACAAGATCGATTATCTGGAATGGGTCAATTTTGGTAGCAGTCGCATAAATTTTTAAAAAAAATACCTATAGTTAACCCCGAAACTGTAGAACTTATTACAGACAAGTATCCCTATACTCGTAATTATGTGTATATTTTGTTTTTTTCAGGGGCTGAATATTAGGATTAATCCTACAAAAGAGGATTAGATTTGTCTTAAACAGGAGGTTAATTTAGCCTATCAGCCCATACAGTGACGAAAACAAAACTTAAATGCACTCGAATGAAACATTATTTGCAAATGTACAGGAGTTCAACGAGTACATATATCCAATAAATAATTTCTTGATTTAATAAACCTTTTTTAGAGTATCTTTGCAAAATAAATTGCATTGGGATGAAAAATGGTTCAAGGATTAAATTTTATTTACTAATAAATCTCGTGTTGACTTTGTGCATCTGATTTTTGGAATTTGAACTCTTTGCTGTTTTCTAAAATTTATTTACTCTAGATAAGCATGGCTGTATACACAAACCTTTACAGCATGATTTATTTAAAAAAATTAACGCTTACTGCAATTTGTTTTACCTTGTTGACTTAAAGGTTCGCGATTTGTTTTCTCACGGTGATGCCTGGGCCTCGTGGGGGTTTCATCTAATTTTGCGATAACTAGGTTCTTATTCACAATTTAACCCCTTTTTAAATATTTACAGATAGCGGCATATTTTAAATTTTATTGAGATTTTTGATATAAAAAATGACATTCGCTTTACTGTCCCTGGATTTTCTCACATTGTTTATTAAATGCATGTTTGTTTGATGTTAAATTTGAACAGTTTCCTCGCTGTTAACGTTATGGTCTTGCTTCTTCTTACACAATATCTTCTCTGTTTCGTGTGGCGATCCGTTTAATGTAGTATTAATACTAATTTCGAATAACTTCATACCTGAGTGCCTAATTGTGTCGAAATTTGGAGTCATTCGTTTGGTATAAGCACGGAAGTGACACTTGGATGTATCCATTATTTAGACGTCTTACTGTTGCGTTTTCATGGGTAGCTAGCATGAATGCTATGCTATTATCAGGTAATATAATATCTCCGAGAATATCACCTTTCTCTGCAACTTTTCAAATTGACAGTTTTGTCTAGTGTATTGAATGTCGTCAACTAGGATATAGGTCTTCTTTTATAAGGACACTAACGCTATTAAATTATGATAACTAGATCTCTTGATTGTCGCAACATCACTTGGTCGTACCTGGTGTTTGTGAGTTGCTTTTTCAGAAGACTCACCATAAGAAGAAACACTGTATTTATCTATATTTAGGAGACTGAAGAACTGCCCGATTCTCTGGTCGAGGCCTCCTTGGCTCTTTCGAGTCCTAATTTAACGAATGCCTTCATCGATGTCGGTGATGCATATTTCCAGAAGATTATAAACGACTTTTCAACCAGTCCTCTCGACATAACCAGCATCCAAAATTCAGTCACAGAGGTGAGTGCATTTCGAAAGAAACCGCGTAATTCCTACTTCATCACGATTGTTCTTCGTGCCATGCTTGTAGAACTTTTCAGTCAAAGTCTTTCATTTTAATTCGGTGCATCACGCTTTGGATTTTACTCACGTATCTACCGGTTGCAGAGGCAATGATTTTAACTAATAGTTGTACAAACTGAGAGGGTTCTGTTTTCTTCCTTTAACACTGCTCAAATCCGCATTACATAAACCTCCTGTAAACGACTGATGTACTCATCCTGCGAATTTCTAGCTGAGAACATGAACATGTTAACAGTTAAATATACTTCGACCGGTTTCGTGAACATGCTGACAATGGCCTCAACTTGTATTGCTTGATGGTTATTTGGTTTTTTTTAGGTTTTAGACTTCATGCCAGGTGTTGAGTGTGGCGATAAACCGCCTATTTTATCGGAAATGGGGGCAGTTGACTTGGATTATAATTGTGTCGAATCTGACCTTCTCGGCCATCAACAGGTATGCATTTTGTGAATCAAAGTGAAAACATATCGTGGTTTTCCAAATTATGACTTTTCTTTTTAACGCATAGAATAACTCAAAGTCTAAACCAGTAGCGGATGTCACGTCTTGTCGCTTGGGTCAAGGTCATAGGAACATTCCCATCAGTGAATCGTTGATGAATAAACAGGTGAGTAATTTCGATTGTTCCCTCATTTTTTTTTTCATATCATGAGTAGGAATCTTTGTTTCCGATTGGCTAAGCGGTGTAATTTATTAGTTTTTAAGTTGATCGCTGCCACTGTCTACCTTTCCTTTCTTTTAGCTGCGTTTTATGGCAAGGCTAAATTTTGGCATTACTTGTTCCACCTGATTTCGTATTGTTTGAGTTTGTTTTGAATGCCTTGACAGAAGCAGTACCGTCAGCCGAAGGAAGTTATTTCAGAAGACGAGAGCGACTCTCTGACGGAAAGCAGCGATGCTGACGATGCTGACGGTGATTTTGTGGATGAAGCGTCTCTAAAAAAGCCAGTGAGCAATTCAGAAGATTTTTATAAAAGCTCAGGTCATGTCGACGCGTCTCCTTTTCATTTCTCACGCTTTTTTCGACTGCTTTAGACCCCGCGTAAATCAGAAGCCCTCCTTGACGTTGACCCCAGTTACGTCCCTCGTTTGCCAGGCCCTCCGGTAGGTGATTGGTTAAAACTTTGCCCCCCAAAAGGCAGTGTCAGTCGCTTGTAACGTTGTGTTTTGCGTTCGTAGCCGGCCAACTGTAAGCTGGAGCCCCTGGGGAAGGTGTCAAGTTTCATTTCTGGCTGCGGTGCGTCTTCAAACCGTTTTTCTCTCTCTATTTCTGGGGACTCCTGTGATTGTGTATTCTTAATTTCTTTTTATAGTTATAATCGAAGCAATGCCGTCGTTGCCCGCGTTGGACACTGGGTCAGCTCTCTACCTAACCGGCAGACGACCACTTGGTGAGGTATGACTTCCTGTTTTATTTTTTACAAATAAATAACTACTGTTAGTGCTTAAGTAGAGTTTTTTAACGCCATAGGTTTATGACACGATCGGTCCGGTGAGATCGCCGTTTTACGTAGTGGTGCACGAGAACAGGCAACCACCGCCTTCGCTAGCAAAAAAGCCCTCCAAGCCCCGCAACCGCCCACGCAATCACAAAGGCCGTCAGAACGCCACCTTGGAAACTGCACCAGCAACTCAGGCACTCGGCAACGAGAACAGCTTGGCCGAGAATGCGCGTGAAGAGGAGGCGAGCGCCCAAGCCCTCCCAACTGAGCGCGTCAAGCTGAAGGTGAAGGTGAATTTGGGCGATCGGGTTTACTACGTGGCGGACGATCCCGCGCTCTCTATTCCCATCCTCTGCTCCGAGCTGGCCAGACTGCGCGGTTCGGACGCGTCCGGCCAACACGACAGGGAGCTGCCGGTGGAGGTGCGTCGCGTGTCTGTGTCGCCTGCCTGCCCCCCCTTCCCCGCACCCCACGCACACCCGTCAACTCCAATTTATCGATTTTTTGTAGTTACAAGAGTACTCCGACGACGAGGAGGAGCGTCTGCACAAGCGCAAACTCAAGAGCAAACGGAGTGCTCCCGGCGCAGACCTGGGTTTGTTAATTTTTGCTCCCCCCGCAGCAGATTTTTCACATAGTCTTTCCTTGACGGGCTCGTTGATCAATCAGCGTACAGCCTTGAGAACTCAACCACCTCTTTTATCCTCTTCAGACGGTTCTTCGGGTGCGCGAGGAGGGCATCACCTGCGTCGTCTGACGACAGCCGGTGGAGGTTTTGCGGGTCGAGGCGGGAAAAAGTCTGGCGCCTGGAGACCATCCAACTCGGAGCAGCTTCTTCGGCCGTCCTTCCTGCCAGACGCATCGAGGCAGCCACCAGCGTCGTCGGCTGGTTCAACTTGGGATCCCAGGGCACCGCCAACGTGGTCCTCGTGGCAATCCTACAATCAGTCATGTGAGAAATTCTGTAGTCCAGTTAATCTAGAAAATGAAAAATTATCTATGTGTTCTACTAACATTTTTTTCAGTAGGTGGTGTTATTTGACTAAAATTCTAATCTATCGATTAATTTCAGGGGGACCTCCGACAGAGGCGTATTCAGCCGCCTACTCCCACCAGTCAGCCTCACAGGCCTACGCCGGTACTGGAAGGAATTCAATATTTTCGCCGGCACCCTTGCCCCCCTTTGGCACTGGGCCTCCAGCCCCACCACCGTCAGCCCCGAATCAGTGCTGGGCCTCCACTCCCCCCACCTACTGGAACCAATCACCCACTCCTCCCCCGTGGTGGAATGCTCTACCTCGTCCTCCTCCTCCTCCCCCTCCTCCTCACGGACCACAATGGGATCAGCGGTGATGGATCAGTCTTCCATTCTCCTTTTTAAGGCATTTTAGGCTGCGAGAGTAAATATAACGCCCTTCATCGACAAAAGTCTGTCTTCAGCATTGTATACCTTGGAGTTGAATCATGCCACTGAAGATAACAGCCTGTCTTTCGACTCGCAAAGCGTTATCGTTGTTTAGCTGGAGGCCGTAATTGTGAAGGGTAGGCTAGTGGCTCAATAAAGGCCTTAACGATGGCCGAGCGCAAGTCGCATGGCCAGTGGCTTCAGCCATCAGAGAAGCAGGTGTAGCGTCAGCGCAGCAGGTTAATGGGCCACGCCTGTGTGGTGCCGCGTCTGTGTGTAAATATAGAGCGGTTATGGCTGCAGATTATGGCACCCTACGTGTGTTTGTCTTGCGTCATAAACCAGCCGCAGAGTGGCTCTTTGACGTCGTGGAAGTGCGCTCACACGAAAGAGCTCTATAAAACGGCTAGCCGAGTGTGTATACTAACCAATGAGGCAACAGTACGCTAAAGCTCTTTCCATTATCGATTAAAACATATACATGTTGGAAAATCAATAGTGAAGCTCGGGTTGGACCATTCCGATATGTAAGGCTATCTGATATCCATTTGCGAACAACTAGGAGCCCCTCTCTGTTAATCTAAATCAATCATCCCTAACAGTTGAGACAGTGCTGTTTCTAGGTCTTGATTGGATGTTTACTAGCTGAAGCTGATTGGTCAACAGTTTTGTTTCCGACCTAGTAGGTTTTAACAAAGGAAAATACATTTTTCAGAAATGCCGTTTAATCCGTAAATGCCTAAAGGATGTGTCGTCTTGAACCACGCCGGGGCCACTGTGATTATCTAGGCCGAATACGTTACCCTGCGTTCCCGCGAAAATATAGAAGACCGGAGTGGGGAAGGCACAACCGCTTACTAGACCGCTCAACCAAGTTGTATCGTGTACTTTTACGGTTGTGTAGACATCTAAAAGTGAACACAGGCGTTTGTGAGGTCACATGGCCAAAGCGGGAGGTGGCGGTACATTCAGAGGGGTAATGAATCAGCGGTCTCACGTGAAAGGGGGGACGTGTGCTGGAAGCTGCGAGGACAGGGTTATTGGACGTGAATCAACACGATTCACTACACTTCCCCGATTCCCACGATGAAGAAAAGAACCGGAGTGGACGTGGACACAACCGTTTACTTCGGTACTCAGCCACGTTGGTGTTGTGTGTGGGGTTTGCGCGTGTGTATTTGTACCTCAGATGTGTGAGTCGTACATGCGGTAACATGAGAGGGGAGTTGAGGATCCGCGCGGCTGGTGACATTCTTCGAAATGGGGACCTTATGTCGGAGGCTGGAGTGATGGGACTAGCTGGTGTGAATCAACGCAATTCACAACGTCAGTGAAGACTTAAAATCTCATTAACCTTGCTTATGTGATGCTTTCCTGTAACTAGAACTGATTATCGATCCAGCGGGAGTCCGCATGCGTTTCCATCGCCGTTTTTATCCATAGGGTTCCCATCTGAAGCTCATCAATGTGAAAACCAGTACGTTGCGACTTTGCTTGGACAAGTAGTCGCTATCAGTCTGGATTAGAGAGGTCTTAGTCGATCGATTCCGCTATTCTGGCCATGAAGGCGCCAATTCCGACCGCGTTCTGTGTATATTCATGGCCGAAAGGCAGCACCTGGTACGTCGTGTGCGTGCAAACACGTCGTGTTTGGCGCTGCGGCATGATAAATTGCCACGTGGGCACAAATCACCACCTTGCCGTGTATTTATAGGGGGCCCCTAGATAAATCGCCAATATACTCGGGTTGTTTTAGCAGCAAGGCAAGGAATTCCAATGCCGGTAGCATTCCTGTCACACCGCTTCATCCACACAACACGACTACGCTTCCATTTTGAGCAGGCAGGCAATTGTTGCTTGACTGCGAATTCGGAGTCATGCGATAGTTCCATTTTCAGCTCCACAGTCTTCGACGCTTGTGGACGTCGATGAGATGGTTGCTTGGGTGGAGCCGACATGGGGTGTGGTAGCGGCGAACAACGACTAAGGCTCACCAGCTGTTGACGCGCCAGTGAGATGTCACGTCGAGGGTGCTACTGACAAGGGTGTGGTGGTCAAGGCTGTGCAGGCAAGAAAATGCACGAACACCCATACTCGATGTGATAGATTGTCTCCAAACAACATTTCTACGCACGCCTTCGTCTTGTGCCGCATTTCTACAATATCTGCTGACGTCAAATCGCAATTTTGCAAATTTGGACGCTACTTTTAATCTTGGTGGTATCATAAGGCATGCGTCAAATCGAGGTAGGGCAATTTCTGGGAACGCCACAGCTTTTAACATGGGTAGAGGCTTCCTTTATTGTGGCGATATTACCAAAATGGAATAATCAATCAACAACGAGCTAGGACTCCTAATTCATGTAGAAATATCGACTCAGAATGCCTGTCAAATAAGGTGTCATTTCAAAAAAGTTTAAACTCAACTTCTCGGAACCTGTAACTATGTCCTTGTCCAGCTACCTTGGTCACTAACAGTTAAAAAAACACGAGTTATGTTAACGTTAGCGAATGGTGTCCTATGAATTTCCTTCGCATTTGAACAATTTTAAGAAATCTGTTATAGCGTGGCATTTTTAGACCTTCCACAATTGCCGAAGAACTTAATTTCGTCCATGCATCATCCCTTTCTGCCTTTTGGATCACTCTTTCTGGACCGCAGTGACCGACTTGTTACCAAATTTTGCTTTATGAGAGTGGGAATGATCAGTTCGGAATAATTTAGAGTTGAAAAAAGTGAAGACTCCGCAGTGCATGCACATGACAAGTGAGAAAACACACGCCGAGCTAAAGGGTTAGACGTCTAACGCCCAGATACGCCTTTGGTGAAAGGAGTTGTAGAGTGCGCAAACACACACGCACGCACACACACGCGCGTGTCAGACACACCCAATTGGATAGACGATATATAAAAGGTGGGGCTGTGGTAAACCGTGACGTTAGCCATGCTCACACGTCAAGGGGTTCTAGCCTGTCAAAGAGCGTTCTCCGAGCTCTCGGCTCGCGCAGCCTTCGCAGCCACCGGCGTCAACGGACGTCGTGGGCTCGCCACCTCGCAGAGCCTCGCATCGCCTCGTGTCATTATCACCGGTGGTCTTGGTCAATTGGGCATGCCTTTGGCCCGTGTTCTACGGTAGGATCAACAATTCTCTTGGTTACCATAACACCCCATCTTATTACAGGCACAAGTTCGGTGATGAATCTGTCATGGTCACCGACATCAAGAAACCCGACTCCTGTGTGGCGGATCTCGGAAAATTCGAATTTGTCGACATCCTAGATCCAACAGGACTAAGGAAGTTGGTTGTGGAACACCGTGCCGATTGGCTGATCCATTTCTCAGCCCTGCTCTCTGCCATCGGCGAACAGAACACTCTGCTCGCCATGAAGATCAACCTCGAGGGTCTCCACAACATTTTTAACGTTGCACGCGAGTTCAACCTCCGTCTTTTCATCCCCAGCACCATTGGTAAGATTAGCCTAGCGAGTTAGCTTTATATCATTAATCCATAGGGGTCCAATTATAAGGCTTCCTGTTCAATCATTGTAGGTGCTTTTGGGCCTAATTCGCCACGTAACCCCACCCCTGATGACTGTATTCAGCAGCCCAATACCATCTATGGTGTGAGCAAGGTGCACGCTGAGTTGTTGGGCATGTACCTCAACCACCGCTACGGCCTGGATTTCAGGAGCCTTCGTCTTCCTGGTGTTATCTCTGCTGATGTCGAACCAGGCGGTGGCACAACCGGTGAGTAGGCCCCCCATTGCCTCCACGACTAGCCCCACCCCTTATGAAACATGCTTAGTCACCTTGCATTCTCTCCTACCTGTGTAGACTACGCTATTCACATTTTCAAGTACGCGATGCGCGGAGAGCCCTATCCATGCTTCCTGAACGAGAACACGCGTCTTCCGATGATCTGGATCGACGATGTGATTCGCGCCATGGCTGAGGTGATGGAGTGTCCTCGAGAGAAGCTGAAGCGATGCGTCTACAACCTCGCGGGCATCAGCTTTACCCCCAGGGAGATCAACGAGGCGATGCTGCGTGGCATGAAGCGACACGGCCTCAACAAACAACTCCAGACGTACGAGCTCAAATACGACGTCGACTTCCGCCAAAAGATCGGTGAGCGACGAGTCTAGTAGCCACTGTTGTTAGAACGTGCAGCATCATCAATCGATCATGACATAATGCTGTTGCTTGTGCATCTGATCCCTTTCAGCTGATAGCTGGCCTGAGGTGCTAGACGATTCCAACGCTCGACGTGACTGGGGCTGGAAACACGAGGTCGACATTGACGGAATGGTTGACAGGATGTTCGAATACCTCAAGACGCACTAATTGTACGTTTTCCACTTTCGCATATGGTCTCAACTTCCTTCTCTCTTTGATTCTGGCCTCGATTTAGGTCGTGGTTCATGCATCTTCTCTTCACATGAGCGTCACGTTTTAGCACTGCAAGTATAGAAAACATTTTAAAGTTGATAGGAGTCTTGGGATTTGGGCTCTGTCAAGATCTGGTGTCAATGAATCACGTAGTCTCATGGCTTCATTGGTTACTCTAGATGACCGCCTTGTCTTACGTTTTAGATGTCAAGAAAGTGGGAAAGTGTCTAGGCTAAACCCCGCTGCAGCGCCAATTCGACATTTTTCAAATCTCCGGCTTTCAACAACCCTGGTTGCCTAGACTGTACATTTAGCCAATAAACGTTCTACTCCATACTAACCAATCCACTTTTTGTGCCTTAGAGAATATCGTAGCTTATTGAAAATATCTACACTTTGTGAAGTCTTCTTTTTCAGTGCCTAAAAAATCAATAAAACCCGCATGAAACAATAAGTATTTCACAGAGCTAAGGGTTTCTAGAATGGCAACATGTATGCATTATAATCATTTTAAATTCATTTTGGAAAGACTAAAGTTTGAATTCAAAACTTTCGATCAGACAGCGTGGTCAAGGTTAGACGATTGTTGTTATGGAAACAAGTTTTAAATTAATCCGCAGGATACACCTGAGAGCCCCACGCAAGTAATTTCAGTGGTGTCGTGAAGTAAAGCGATGTTTACACGAGTGCTTTGTGTTTATTTCTTACCTGGGGGCTTTAATTAAATTGTTTATTGATGTTCATGCACTGACGTGCTGGCACGCATGCTGTCTGAACTCAACTTTTGAATTGGGCGTGGCATTTGAAGCAGCAGCAGCAGCCAATCAGGTCGAGCGAAGGGTTTGTACCCTGTTCAGTAGCTATGCGACAAAAGAATGGATTGAAAGACGCGGTGGCGAGACAAGCGGGGTTATTCCGAATGAGTCACTGCGCAGGTAAATTCTACGCAGGGGTTGCTGATAGCGTTTCATAAAGCCGAAGCCTACTCTGAACTAACCTGCCAACTGTAAGTACACACATAAAAGACGTGGGCAACAAAGTCGGGTGTGAGCGTTGACAGAGCACAAATTGACAAGTATCACGCCCCTAAAAAGAACGGATTTTAAAATTAAAAAAAAAAAACATTAGCAGTTACTTGAGGTCAGGAGTTGGAGAGAAGTGTGTGGTTGCGGCGCCTGCCTTAGAACAAGCAAATTTGCTATCAGGAATTCAACATTAGTCCCGTCGTTTAACAAAAATTTAAAACCTGCAACACGGTTTTTCTTAATAAAATTTGTTTACCGATTTACAAATAGTACAAATTTTGAGGTAGAATTTAGACAAATTAATCAACGGCGCATATAAATTTGCAGATTGGTACAGGAACTGGGTGATAAATTTATTTTCATTAAAGCCATTATTTTTGCCGAAATTCGATGTACAAACATGGGTTAATATAATGCAGAATAGTTAATTTTTGTGTTGGTGGTGGTGGTGGTGGGTGAAACAGAGACGGTTTCATAAATTGAATTACTCTAGGTTCCCAGTTAAGGTTCATGATTAACAGGTATTCACAAGATTTAGATTTATGCGGTTACGTCTTAATTATCGGAATTATCTTGTCTAAATTGTGAGTAATGTGTAAACTTTTACTCATTTTTTATATTTGTGCGAGAAATTCGATCAAATTCAAAGAAGCCAAATATTGCATCAACCAATGGTCTTGTCGACTTGGCTTGTGCATGCATAAGTGCAAATTATATTGTCATTTTGTAGACAAGGCTTACAAATTGTTGGTTGAAATTATGCATTCTTCATGAAACAGTAGTCCAATGAACAATTTTAAGATTACGGTTAATTATGATTCTGTGGAAGAGTGGAAAAAAGGGATAAATGGGGAAATTATTATTTGTACAATTAAAAATGGTGACACACCAACGGCCGGTTCTTTAGTCACAGCATCATTATTGAATAATTCAAAATGATGCGCATAGGGATTTTCATATTTTTCCAACAAAGCAAATTTTTGTAGAGTGTAGTTTTCTGTCACTCAACCCCACGGCTTTTATCCTTTTTTCGTTTTTCTTAAAGTTCATTGAAGATAAATAGATTGCGATTCCGAGACAGAACTAGGTATCTAAAATCCCAAATTTGTAAAAAAGCACAAAGGCTAAATTATAAACGGAGTAACCTTAGTTGCTTTTAGTGAATCAAACTTGTTTGCCCCTCGGTGCCAACGTAGGCCGCAAAGTGTCCAATCGAGCATGAAACTGGAGCAAATCTGGCTTCGTAGTTGTTCATTGACTGCCTCAAAAATTAGTTAACAAAAATGCGTTAAAAATAGTCTGCTTAGCGTTTTGCACCTTATCAAATCCCCCCACTAATGCAGCATCATCCACCGATAGATCCATTGTGGAGTCGCTCTATTTCCGAACTACACTGCCTTCTTTTCTTCTTCAAAAAATAAACGCGTCCTCTGCTTCACCATATTTATAGGACGGGTTACAAGAACGAAGGTTGAGAATAAGTTTCAAATTTGTTTAAATGAGCCCCAAACCCTAGCCCAGAGGACAGCCTGGATACCAAAAGATTCAGCTAGTCAAACTTAAAACACTTTCAGGAACATTTGGTCTATCCAATGAATGATCATACCATAATAGTTTGTTGTGGGCCCCAGCACGTGGTCTTGAACCACGCCAGAGCCACTGAATTAACTCTGGCATGATTGCGCTTCTCTGATACCCGCGATGAAGAAGAAGACGACCGAAGAGGACGTGGACACAGCCGTTTACTTCAGAGCTCAACCACGTTGGTGTCGTTGTGTCGTGGGTGGCATTTGAACATGTGTACTCATACCTCAGATGTGCTAATTTCACATGCAGCAACATGGATATTTTGGCCACAGAGCGTGAGTTTCCGCTCTACTTATCTTGGTCAGTCGTTTTCGTGGACTGGCGACACTGTCATAAAATACATGGTTAGATTAATTTTCCCTTTTTAAATCAACTGTCATTTTACTAAAACTCGAGGCAAGATCGCATACGTGTTTGTGGATTTACATACACACATGCACAAGGACTGGCGTGTTGAATATAATCGTTCTGACATCGTCGCATTCATTTCTCCTACTGGAGTAACATAAATTGCAATTATTAAACTTTTTAAAGATTTCAAATCAATATACATTTTCAACACCTAGTCCGCACTAGAACTGCTCTGCTTAAAGGACGTTACCCGCATTGTGTAGCTGCAAAAACCCCCCAATTTATTATTCCGTCTGGCTTTACACATAAAAGAACGGCTCTACGACTATCTAGAACGGATTTTTGGATGTACGATATAAATTTGATGAATCACATTTTTAAAGAAATTCTTGGTCAAAGTTACATACTAGGATTGTTGGTGCTTGGTGAAATATTTAAGCTCGTAGCAAATTAATGACAAATATTGTACACGTGTGTTCTCCATTATAGGAAGCAGATATTTCATGAATGCATTCTGCTTTGAATCGTTGACTTAATCGTAACTTTGAAAGGTCTGTGTTCCCTAGTACTCAAAAAAACGCACACACACATCAATGACACTTTACAACTAGTGAATGCAGAAAACATTGTAAAAATCACACCAAACTGCTTATTAGATATTATCTTTGTTTATTTAAGGATCCCGACAGACCAATTGATTTCAATGTTGAAAAATCGGCTGTGAAACAAAATCGAAAAGCAGAAATTAAATTGTTTACGAAGAATTTGACCTCAGACCACCACTCCATCTTTTAAGGAAACTTGGCTTATAAATCAAGGAACCATTTCTCTTGCTTCCCAAAACATTTTGTGCTTTTATTAATACAAAAGGCTAACAAATTTAAGTTACAATTTTTGATTTTGTCTTCTCTGTACACATCACAAATCATAACTTTGCAATGTATAAACATGAATTCAACTTTCGTGCCAAAACCTAAATCTCAACTTATGATGTTGTTCTCGTCAAGTGTCGACTTCATCCTAGCCTCTCTTGGTACAAAAAAGCCACCTTTTTCAAGAAATTTTAATCGCCTAAACCAAAAAAGAGAGAATTATTGCGAAAAACTCAAATGCTATCGGCGAATCATCACATAGTTTGTTTCGATTATTTCTCGAAGCTTATTGGATGTTAGGAAACTTAGCACCAAAATATACTTATTCCGCCTGCGTTCTCATTTCGAAATAAAACATGATGGATTTCGGCGATGCCTTTCATTCTCTTACTAAAGGAATGGACGAGTTCGAAAGAGCTGGGTCTAAAGTAACAAAAATAATTTGTAATTTTTCTCAGAAGCGGAAAATGTGCTCAGTTACCGATGCTCAATCAGAAAATGAAATTATTGAAAATCTCCGCCTCAGGCATGACTTTTCCAAAGAATTTATTCGGAAACCAGTTTCTAATAAAAAGTCGCCCTACCGCCCTTTGATGTCTTTTTCACAACTAGTATCCCCTCCTTATGGATATCCTGCCGAAACGCCAGACCTTTTGCGTAGTTTGGAGTACACAAAACCAATGCCTGTCCAGACGGAGGTTATCCCAATATTTCATGAGGTTCGTCATTTTCGTTAATTCTTGACGGTCTGATAAAAATGGCAGATGGTTGACTTGAGTTGGTTCCTTGCTGATATTTCTCAAATTCTCTTTAAAATTGCATTATTTGTGGCGTATTTCGGGTTAGCAAACTTTTAAGTTCATACCGATTTAATGAAAAGGTTTGTTTCATGTCGGTTTATACGTGTTTCATTAGTGTTGATTCGGAGTTCTTAAGTCTTAGTTACTCTAATTCTCATAGCCTCTTTTTAAACACCTCTATATTCATTACATAGTGTTGATACACGGCAGTTTCTTACTTTCATTTCAGGGCCACCATATGCTCGTATGTTCTCCAACGGGTTCTGGAAAAACTACTTCATACCTTCTTCCTCTACTAAACTTTGCAGCAACTCATACTAAACACGAAGTGTCAATGGATAAGCATTTGGTTCATCCATATTGTATCATACTTTCCACAACACAAGAATTGCTCGGCCAAATATGGGCAGAATGTGTTCGACTTGGACAAAATCTTTATCCAAAAAACGGGAAGATAGCCATCCTGCGGCGGAAACACTACAATCTCCGACGGAAAGTAAGGTCACACCTACTTGTGCATTTTTTGCCTCGATAGGATGAATCAAAAGCACTAAAGAGATGTCGCGAGCTGCGTTTGCCGAAGGAAACCAAAATCTTAATTACCACACCGAAGCGACTGGCCTCACTTATTTCAAAAACCGGCAAGGATTGCCCCGTCAGTTTTAATTGGTTAGTCTAATTTATTGATATCTTCTGTTAGTTTTAACTATCCTTAGGAATGGTTTTGCAACCCCACGCTACCATGCCATAGTTACCGCTGCTATGTGCCATCTCTGGACTTCGTGCTCTAAAATTTTAGTCTCAAGTGGCTGGTGATTGACGAATGCGACAAGATGCTCGAGTCGAACATCGGTGGGGAGGAACACGACCGAGCTCTGAGGACTTTCCACGCCCAGTTAACGGTAATCTTGAATGGCATCCGTGGCGGCGCTGCTGCTGCTGGATCGTTTCCAAGCGTGGCGCTTTTCTCCGCCACGATGCCGTCGCAGGTTGTTTCGTGGGCCAGTGAAGAGCTCTCCGCTGAATGCTCCGATGCTCGTGGACTCGTGAAGCTCCAAATCGGACCCGGGTGTGTTTTATTGATCGGTTCGCTGTGCTGCGCCGAATGGCCAACGTTAATTGGTGACGCGTGTTCCTCTGTCATTTCAGCGATGCTGCCGTTTCAACGGTGAAGCAAGAGCTTCGTTACTGTGGTTCAGAGCAGGGGAAACTGCTGGAAATGCGTCGTCTACTCGTCAGCGGACTCTCCTACCCGTGCCTCATCTTCACTGAATCACGACAAAGAGCAGCCGAGCTGTTTAAGGAGATCCTGCTGTCAGACAAAAACATCCTCGCAAGTATCCTCTCGAGTGAGAAAAGCGAGGCACAGGTCTGCAATGTTTGTATTCTGTCTATCTATGTTGGTAAAAGTAGTATTTTCATTTTATTGTGTTGCAGCGCAATGCAACCGTGAAGGCGTTCCGCGAGGGCAAAATCAACATACTCATTTGCACAGATTTACTCGGAAGGGGAATAGATTTCAAGGTAGGCACAGATGTGTGCCTGTGTGCACAAGTAGTTATTCCCTCTGTTGGACATACTAGCAGCGTCTCCTAGTTGATGAAGCTTTACCGTCTTGTCCTTTAATGACTGATTTTGTTTGGTCATAGTTCTTTTGTCTGGACATGCCGAATTGCGAAACTGTGTCCCAAATCACGTCAATAAAAAAACCTCACTACTTAATAAATTAACTGCAGAGTCTGATGATGGTGGTGAATTATGACCTGCCGCCATCACCGACCGAGTACATTCACCGAGTTGGCCGAACAGGCCGCGCGGGTCGCCTCGGCGGTCGCGCAGTGACCCTCTGGACGGACGCAGATCTCCTCCACATGGACGCCATCCTCGAGGTGATGCGGAAGAGCGGCGCCACCGTCGACGACGACCTCCAACGCCTCGTTTCGGCGTGGAAGGCCAAGAAGGCCAAGCAGACCCACGCTCGCACCATCGGGGGGGTTGTTTCGCGTCGAAAGGGTGAACGCAGGCTCGCAGCGAGGGTTGCTCTCGGCCACAAGTCGAAGAAAACTCTTGACAGGTAAATTATGTGCCTGTGGTTATATGGGGATCAACCAGTACGCGCCTCATTTTTCTGACTAAATTTAATTAGTGTTCCTACCAATTAGGTCCTGTTGTATCTGTGACGTTTCAGAAGAGGCTGCTTTAAGGTCATGCGTTTCAGTAAAACAAATCGACATTCTTGGTGGTAGATGGCCACTATGGAAATTAACATTTCCTACAATTTCACGGTTTTTTGAGACAATGTTACAAAAGGCCTAGCGCTTGATATTTACACGCTACGAGCTCCTGACGACAGAATTGAAGTTTACTGCTGGTGTAAACAGAGTCGAGACAAGTGCGGCGGCTTAAACATGCAGTGAATCCACCAATGATGCCTTTCCTGTTCAGTCATTGACGGGCACAAGTCGCATTCGCTACTTGTTGTGCAAAGATTCCGCGTTGGTGATTGGTTCGGAGCGCGAGCGTTTGTCAGCTATGAAGTTGCCAGACTGCATTGAAATTAGCAAAATAACCAATAACCCCTGGATGTGCTTTTTTTGTTGACACAGAGAAAAGCACCTTCTGCGACCGTGGAATCCACACCGTGGCAGCATCACTGACGTGCCTGGGTCCAAATCCCGCGAACTGATGATGTCGCAGACGAGTGGAAACACCGGCAAACCTTCGAGGAAGAGAAAACACTCGAAGACGTCTGGTGGGCCGTGTTTGCGCTCCCCTGACGTGTAAATAATCAAAGAAACTCGAGCTCTCCCTTCCAGCTTTTCTTTCTATTCCTGGTTTTTGCAGCTGTCTGGCGAGCGTCTACCTACTAAGACGACTTATTTGGTGTTCTAGTAGTGCCACCTAATAGAGAGGCTTGCATTACTGTCCGTCGGACCAGTGTGATTGCCCATTTAGGTGCTCTTTGAGCCGAATTCTGAGGCCACAAACCAACAGGTCGATTGCCCTGAGAATGATTGTTTATTCAAAGATCTTTGGGAAAGTAATGCATTCTGCCCGACTGTGGGCGTTTGCGTGCACGCGGATTGGGGGACGATGAGGGAATGACACAAGGGTGATAAACGTAAAGGCAGTAAGTTAGCAAATGTCAGGGAGTAGAAATGGTGCTGCAACTACTAAATGACCCGAAAAACAAGTCTACAGATGTACTCGGGCAGTCGTAGTTCCTCCTCAAGCAGCCGTCGCATCTCCTCACGGTACGTGTAGCTCTGCGGAACCCACTTCAGCTGGGGTCTCTTCTTTTTCTTCTTTTTATCCCTGATCACGTCGCCGCTATCGGTGGCTGTTGATCTTGCGTTTGACTCCTGGCATTCCCCACCGTTGTCGTTGTTCTCGGTCTAAAAGCATGAAATTCGAGCAGTTCGCAAGTGCTTCCGCGCAAAAAGGAGGTGGAGCTAAGCGTGGAAAACTAACCTTCGAGGAGAGTGAATCGACATTTACCCTCCCACTCAGGATGAGTCGATCGAAGGCAAGTCGTCTGGGGTTGCCCGTGAAGTGCTCGATGAGACGAACTCGAATAAGCGCGGACTGAGAGTCACCGAAGTCGTTGTCGTCGTCGGCCTCACCATCGCTGACGCCCGTGCCAACGTCCTCGTCATCAACTGGCCGAACAATCGATGCCGTGTCTCCATCACACCGTCGCTTGAAGGGGGACGCCTCTCTCTCACCGGTGTTCCTACCACACAAATAATCAAACGCACACCCAGTTTAGTATCCACAAGTCGACGTGGGTCTTCTTTTACAACCGAATGCTACCACCAAGCGGTGCTCCAATTATCTCTCGGGATGCACTAATCGTGATTCCTAACTAACGGTTCTCTCAGTCAATTCGATGTTTTGCATCGACACCGTCGAGTAGTGCCTAAACAGGACGCATGAACAGCATTTGACGCACCTCGACGGAGAATCGCTGGCCTCGCGTTTCTGAGAAGAGGAGGAAGTTGATGGTTTAAGGGTGGTAAGAGGCTCTTCCGGGTTCTCATTCCTTTCAGACGCCGACCCGCCGGTGGAACTACCTGTGTTGTAATCCGACCTACAATCGAGATGGGTGGTGTTCGGGCAATCTCTCTAGCCACTGAGAACAGTAAATGAGGCAGAAGGAGGCGAGTAAGCCTAAGTTACGCGGTATTTTCAAAGTTCTGAGAGCACGGCGACTGGCGTTCTGGTGGCGAGCGATCAGAATCACCAGCCTCCGATGACGACGACGAGTCGGGGGACGCTGCGGCTACGAATGTGTTGGGATTACCTAGCGAGTCGGTGGCTGAGCATTCGTGGGGGCAGGGATCAACTTCGACGAAACGACCCAGAATCGGAGGACCGTGTTCTCGCGTGGTTATCACCTGACGCAGCTGACGGCGCAGACGCCGACATGCCAGACGCTCGAGACGCTCTACTGAGCGTTTGGGTACTGTAGAACCGAAACAGCAGAAGAGTATTGAATTGGTCGTCCAGACGGGACACTCGGTCGAACTCGAAAAGTCGACAACTGGGCGTTAGCATCACCGACGGAGGAAATAAAATTCACACCTCATGCCAAGAACAAAGGCTTCACACCAGAAAACCAGTCTATGCAAGACTTAGTGAAATGCGGGTTGTGGCTGACCAAAAATCGATCAGAATTTGGCGAGGAAATTGAAACTGTGTAGCGTTGTTGGAATGAGGCTCAAATGTTGACTAGCTAGTCACCTAGCAAACAGTTATACACCGTGAAGGGATTCAATTTTGCGGGTATCCAAGTAAAGCAGACTGAAACGCAACCACACAAACACACCTGAGGCATATCTACATTCGATTAACTGCATCACATGATCTAAGAAGCGTGGTTATGCAAGTGCACGTAGAAGTGTAAAACAGACTCAGAAAACAACCCAAAGGGACTGAACTTATTCTTTTGCTAGCCTCTGCACATATCAGCGTGAAAACGAGTACAATTTGAAGTGTGACTCATAGGTGACGCGGTCTTTAAAATAGGTGTTGAATGCAACGAAGTGGGCCGTCACGATATCTCATATCGGCGAAAGTTATGGCGCCTAGGCTAGTGGAAAATTTACATTGCGACATCAGAATTAGTGGAAACAATGAGAAGCTTCACCTAGCTGCAAATTTAAGCCGCGAAAATCAGGCGAGACATGCGTGACCAAACAGCTGATTCGCAAGGGTCCATATCACGTGATTTAACTGGCCAATCACAGAACGGTAAAATGTGGCATTGTCAATAGGAAATTTATCAAAAAAACACATAGTTCTTTAAATACTCTTCTGGTTGTAAACAGATAATCGTGCAACTAGCCAAATTTATCAGGATTTGAATGTTCTGGAATTCCACGTCACATTCAATTCTACGCACATTTTAAGCAGAAAAATAGGGACACTACAAACACCTATGGCACCATAATTCACACGAAATTAAGCGGACTAGAATAGAACGAAAACGTACTCTTCTTTATTCTACTGTCCCAAGGAATCCGATACTGCGTTTTAGGGGAACATTGTTAAATTTATGTGAGCAAACCGTTTGCACGCTACTTACGTGGTTTGAGTTTGTCGTCGTTTTCGGAGGGTGGAACGAGTGATGCGAAACTGACATTCATAAGCTGGGTGACATTTACTCGATTAGCAGAAGACCGGTCAATTTTGACGAACTAGAATAACACAGTAGTTGTGGTTGACAAAAATGATTCTGAAAACAATAAACGACATAAAGGAAATAATCAGCTCACCTGGTCATACACTGGAGCAATAAGGCGTCCACCAACTTTCAGCAATCTAAGAATTGCCTCAAGTTGACCTCGTGAAGATATTTCGGAACCGACATAAATCCTGTCGTAGGTGGGCCAGTACTCGAGTGTGGAGGTCTCGCTGCTGCCACTTCTAACAACCGGCGGAGACTCAATGTTTAGCTCAGACGAACGGAGGAAGTTTAGTAAATCAGGATCGCCACTATCCTCGTCACTAAAAGTTCCCTCCGTGATTAACGACGCATCATCGAGATTACTTTGACTTCCGGTGTTAGTTCGTACAGTATGCGGAGAGGGAGGCACCAAACTGAAGATGTTCCCAACAATAAAATGGGGTTCACAGAAGTCTTTTTCAAAAACTGCATCAGAATTAGCAAGAAATGCAGACAAGCGATCCTGAGCGAAGGCTACGTTGGACTCATACACCTCGATTCCATGATTGACACCATTGGAACCTAAAGTTGAGTGAAATCAGCGTCAAAAGCATGCTTCATGACGCGTACGGAGCACTTTAGAAGGCCTAAATGCTACATGTAATCTCGTGATGTACTTCAGGCTACGTTTAGATTGTTAAAAGTACAAAAAATCTACCGAGATTCCAATTAGTGCTAAAAACGTCTGATAAGAAAAGGGACGCAAGACTTAATCCCAAGGGAATCAAGATGAGGGTTAAGTAAAGTTGAATAAAATAACTGACTATGACAGTCATCAAGTTGAGGCCAATAAAATTAACACAAACGGCTGGCTTTAGGGGTGTTGACAAGAATATCTACACAATGAGAAGCAAAGTACCGAACCTAGAAGCAGCCCAAATATAGTGCTTAAGTAGCCGGTTCCGCTTCCGATATTGAGGACCGATTGACCGGGACGAATGTCTAGTTCGCACAGAACTGTGATATAAATTCCTGGAGACGAAAGATGTAACCTTTCAGCCCGCCAGGCGGAGTCGCTATAAATTCTCTCGTTGGGATCAACGGAATAAAACCCACGATCTACGAGACGAAAAACACGCTCTACATGTGATGGAACTTCTGAAGTTTCTTTCAAGCTATCAATGAGAGCTTGATTGTCAGGAAAATTGCTGGCGTGGGCACCCATTTTGAGAAAAACAGATACCCCAACAAGATTTGAAATATCGCGAGGACGTTGGTTCATATAAACTAACTTAAATCCAAAACGAAGCTAATTGAATCTTAAGTTAAGATAATATTTTACTGTTGCCCTTTTACATGCATTTTATGATAAAACATGCAATGTTATTAGGCTAGGCAAAAATCTACGAACTTCGTATCTCAGGACTGTCAGTTGTACATCACAGTAAGCGAAAAAATATTTTGCAATCTAAATGGCTTAGATGTTTACATGTTTCCCTATGATACAGCATATGCGACTTAATGCTTCATATTTGTAAAGTAAATAAGGCTTTCTTTTTTGTATGTGGTTAATCGACATCCTTCAACTGATTCAAATGCACATGACTTGATTATTTGCAGCACGTGTCAGTCGACGAATAATTGTGACAATGTGTACTCAAACTCTGATTATCATAAACGTTCAAATACAGATTATTAATAGTAAAAATAGGGGCATTTTGACTGGATTTATGAAGCCGAAATGAGGCTAATTGCTGTATTATTCACGCGATTTTTGGATTTAGCATATTTGCGAGTAAAAGCACTGGTTTTGTACCTATCATAAATCCAAATAATCAGGCAGTAAAATATCATGCAATTAGCATTGAAGTCTTAATCATGCTCCTATCTATTCCACTTTTCTTGATATCGTTACTTGTTCTGTTGTTGTCCATCCTATTCAGTCAGTCATAACGTAGCCAATGATTTATTGTCATCAGAATCTTAAGTGTAGAAATATTCGTAAGCATAATGTAAAAAATACCTAAGTAAAGATTCAGTTTATTCAGCCCTATCATTGCTTTAAAAATTAAATTTCCCAAAAAAAGCAGTATTTGATATTTTGGGGCAGCCATAGATAAAGTAAGCCAAATCAGCGCTCCCGCCAGTAACATAAAATTATGTTCAACCCCAAATCTTAGCAAGTTTAATAGGCACACCAGTGTCGACAGCGTTCAAGTTGAATTTCTTACTCAATTAATTTAAAGCTCCACAGGCTTAGTGAAAGATCCGATTGACCGAAATAAATACGTTAGCGATAATGCAGTAATTTAACCTTATGATAGATCTCCAGCGTCAGAAAGCCATTAATGACTCCCTTGTGAGGCTGTCGATCCACTTGTACCGAATGAGGTTCATGAGTAAGTGGGGTGTGCTGCATTCGATTAGACAGCTTTCTTGTTTGTATGTAGAAGTTTGATTTTACTGGTCGATTATTCACGGTTAAACATCATATTGGTATTGTTGATGTGGGCAAACCTGTGTGACAGCGTACTTAAATACGTGTCTATGCAGTATTAACCAATATTTGGAGATTTCACCGAGGTCATTTACACGTCTAGACGTGGTTTTCACAAGGAATATTTGTAAACCGCCTAGCCAGGGTCGATGCAGCAATCGACTCCTTGACATCAACGGTTCACGAGGGAGAAGCTAAGACAACTTGTTTAGACGGAACTACTCACACGTGGACGCAGATTCGTGAACGATGGAGAAATGACAAAAAGATGATAATAAAAAAGGCAGTAAGTCAGCGAATGGCAATAGTGCGGTCAAGTCGCTGCAACGGCTACACCGCCTAAAGTACAAATTCACAAATGCATTCGGGCACTCGCAATTCCTACTCTAGCAGACGTTGGATCTCATCGCGGCAAGTTTAACTCGCATTTTACAATCGTAAGCACCTCCGTTTCTAGGAGCACAAACAACATTCTCATGTTGTATTTTGCATCTACCTAGATGGATTCCGTGTCAAAACAACGTCTAGACTCGCAAATGACTCACTCATTAAACTGATTTGGCACAAGTTGATCAACAACCTAGCAATATAGTCATTGCTGAGCAAAAACCCAACCTTACTTGAATATTCAATCCATGGATCCCGGCGCTTATTCACTCGCACAAAGTCAAGTCTTCCGTGGTTGCGCGGAATGCTGCTTCTGTAGATCAATTGAACATCAATGGATCACACGACGTGGACTTTGTCGTCGTCATAAACTGTTTGCCGCTCAACTCGTTTTGTGGCCGAGACATCTTCAACTTCTTCGCGAACTACCGCAGGGAGTCGACATTGCATCAATGCTTGGTCAGGAATCCTGGAAGGCACCTATAGTGACCATACTCATCACGTGAATCTTGACAAGTGGAATAATGAATTACTCCTCCTCCTCCTCCTTCTCCTGCTCCTCCTCCTCAGATTCCCCCTTTACCAAATGACTAATGGAAATGGACAAGATAGCATATTGAATACAATTAAATGCTGGCAGATGTATGACAGGGTTTATGTTGCCACAGGAGTATCTCCAGGAAGCGAAGTGGAGACTATTCCCACAATGATGAAAGTTGGGGCCGACGCATTGAATTAACACATTGTTAATTGTATCTTTTGTGCCGTTCATTGGTGTGAAAGCCGCGTTTGCTAACCACAGCTACTGTTTCCGTGTAGTTATACAAAATCGGCAGTAAAATGCACGCGAATTTGCGAACCAATTTACGACTTTCTTCTGGAAAAAGTCTTCGAAATTGACGAAAATCCAGAACCACGTAAGTTGCTAACAATCGGGTTGAGCTAATGGCTGTATCGTTGGTCTCTTGAAACAGTTTGCGGTGAATTCTTTCGCGTCAGTATTTTAAGCCATAGCTCATTACTTCATAGAAATGTTGCCTAATTGACTACATGTAATTAACGTCTTTGTTATCCAGTGATCTTTTTAGACTAAATGCCTATAACATAGCACTGTTTTTAATTTTAAATGCTGGACAACATTAGTATAGCCGCCTCCCGAACATAATTAAGCGGAACTGTTTTTCTTGTTTGAAGGCTGTTCTTGCCATAGGATTTGAGTTTTAATTCCTGTTGGACTGTTGGCTATTTTTGAGGCTCCGACATTTACTAAATGTAAGTGCACTGTCTAATGTGATAGCTTACGTGTTCACGCAATGTGATGATTTGAAGCAATTTAGGTCTCAGGTTCCACCCATCGCTCTGAAGAAAGTCAACTGGAAGCATTGGCATCTTGTTACTTGAAAGCCCAGAATTTGATGGATTTGTGGTTTGAGACATTAACGAGATCAGCATGTCTCTGTGGTCAAACGATATCGTCTGTTTCTCTAAAATTGAACCAACTAGCGTGTGCAGTGAAAGAGGTGCCAAATTTCAAGTTTGAGTTACCAATGCGATAAAAATGTAATGTTGTGTTTGCACAGCGCCCAAACACTCAGAAGAGTGACTCGAACGTCTAGCAAGTCGGTGTGTTTGCAGCCAGCTGCGTGGGGTGATAACACCGAGCCGCCACGGAGATCCATGTCTGGGTCGTTAGGTAGAAGCATGTCGCTGATCCGATCCTCAAAAGGGGAGCCAGTTCAGCACCAGGACAACGCCGAAGCCGGTGCCCTGCGTTACTCAGGTGCCACGTACAATTTGGCTCAATCTGCGGATCCCGCTCGCGCCTCCATTAGCGGCCTTCAGTCGTCGAATGTCGCACCTCCGCGCCAGTCAGCGTCTCCAGCCACTATGCGTCAATCTGCTCCAAGCAACATTCCACCACCGCTCGTTTTGCCCGCCCACACCGACGACATTTCACCCGGGTCGAAAGGTGGCACACCAAATACCGCCAATACAGTGCGTCCAAGCAGCTACATCGACCAGCTTCATAGTGCAAAGCACGCCAGCAGTGCGGTGGAGGCCTGGGTGGATGATACCATGGCAGTGGACCCCGAGAATCCTGCTGTGCACCTCTCTGAGTCGGGTGAATCCATCACAGTCACCTCCATCACGGAGTCAGGCGTGCGTGACAGCGCGGAGACGTACGCCCTGCCTGACCGACCTGCTCCTGCTCCTCCTCCTCCTCAACCAGTTAAGCAGCCTGTCCCTCTTGCGGAGACAGCTAAATGGCCAACTGCTGTTCGACCCTCCGGCCTTCCGCGTCCAAGCGGTCTTCGAGCACCTATTCCTCGTCTGGTAATGCCCCCACGCAGTCTAATGAGTGCGTTGTCTTCGGAAAATGTCATGACAACGTCCCAACTAACGTTAACAGCGAACACCAACAAAACGACACCAATAACGCGTCGAGCACTGGCACCCTCCGCTATTCCAGCTGGAAGGGCTGGAACCGCGAGTGGGGTCATCGGCGCAGAACGTCCTCGTGGCACGGCGATGCGTCCACGGACAGGCATCTTGTATCATGTTTGGAATGTTATTCAAAATGTGTTTTTAAGTCAGAAGTTCCTGGTGCCACAAGGCATATTTCCCTCTAGCAAATGACAATCGTCAAATGCG